ATTAAACTCCAGAATCAAAACAAGAAGACCCCAGAAGTTGACAGCCTCCTCAAGGAAGGAAGCCTTTGAACTTTGAAGGGATAAGGCTGTATGGGCCAGCTACAAAGCTTAATGACAATTTTTTTATTTCTCAGCCAAAATAAGAATTCTATCGATAATCCGAATTAGATACAATTCCGATGAGAATCAGAAAATTTGAAAAGTCAGGTCTAAGGACCTGCCTGGTAATACAAAAGTTGAAACAGACACGTATTTGACATTGAACACGTCTGGTAATAAAATAGTTAAGAACAAAACATTGGGTGGCACAGCAATTTGCAAGTAATCAATCCAAGGAAAAGGTTTGATCCACTTACAATTCTACCAAATTTTCTGTTAGTAAGAACAAAACAAGGGGTGGCACACAATTTGCAAGTAATCAATCCAAGGAAAAAGTTTAATCCACTTATAATTCTACCAAATCTTTTGGTAACCTGCTCGGTTTATATTGGAAAGAAAAATTTAAAAGTATTAAAATTTTCCAAAGTGACATTTAGATTCTAGAATATACCGATGTTCCGTAATCAATGTAATAAATTTGACTTAATACTGCATCTTATTCCTTGGTAACAAACACTATTGAATATTAAATACTATTAAAACGTAGATAAGAAAGCCTCAAGCTATTATTGCTAGGAACAGGGCCACTTGAAGGTGAATGACCCGCTTAGTACGACAATAAACTTTATTCTAACTCGTGGACAATGTGTTCATGTTTCTTTAGCATTGAAGATCCCTAAGGTAATCGACTAAACTAAGTTATTCTTCTTGTTCCTCACACTTGTTTGAGGAAAAGACAAATCCCAAGTCCCAACAAGTCTATTGATGAGAGAAATTTCTATTCACTCCTTGTCTGAAGATAGAAGATCAAGGGTGGTGGAGATTACTATAGTTTGATTATCTTACAACTATCTAGATACCCAAAATTTCGGTATTTGGTAATATGTTTTATGCTAAAAGGAAAATTAGTCTTTAGTAATAACTTTAATTTTCTTCGAGATCTATGTTTAACAAACTAACAGCGTTAGGTCATGCACCTAATAATTTGATTCGATGATAGACAGATGTATCTCTTTACTCAAAAAAAGTGAATTTAAAATTTTGTGGCTTAATTCAATAAGTTCACTTCATACAATCCATATTTAGACATGCAAAACTTTTGGTATTTGTTGGTTTGTTTTACTCTAAAAGAAAATTAGTACTAATAAAAATTTCTCAAATTGATAATTTTCTTCAACATTTACATCTAAAAAAATTAGAAACATTAAATTGTGTAATCAATAATTTGATTCAATGACAAATGTATTTCCCTACTCAAAAAAAGGATCTGCAAATTTGTGGTTATAATTCAATAAACTCGCTTCCTGCAATCCATATTCAGACATGCAAAACTAATGATTCATAAAGAAAATATCTAACTTCTTTTAAGTAGGTTAGGCGTTGATCACAGGACAAAGCCGGATGTGTGGTGATCTGCCCCAATTAAAGTTCAATTTGTTGGTATGTGCCTTTCATATTTCGTTTCTGAAAGGTCAAAACGTTTCCCCACATTGACAACAAACCATCGAAACATCTTCCTTTTTAGTTAATTTTTTCATCCCAACAATTATCAAGTTTAATATTGTTTTATTGCACTCGAGCATTTAACTCATTAATTAGTGCATGATCTCTTACCTAAAAAGTATAGTTCAAATCTTCCCTCCTTTAATTATTAAAAAAAAAATGAATCTTGTTTTGCTAATTCACCTTAAAAAATTAGAGTTTTGATAATAAAAATAAATATCTTGGATATAATTAGATGATATAATTACTATATATTAAGCTTGCAAAAGCCAAAATCAAAGGGAAAATGTTATCTTTATCATACGGGTCCTTTTTTGTAATAATATGCTATGTTCGATGTTGCATATATAAATTTTAGATAAAATACACTAACGTCTCAAGTTTTAATTATAATTTTATATGAATCTATTAATTTATAAAATAAACGAAATTAATGTCTAAATGTAAAATATTTAAAATTTCTTTTTTCGTTTTTTATTATTTTCTTTTCTCTCTACTCTGCCAGCAAATCTCCCTTCCATTGGCCAACCACCTCGTAACCAAATCAAACCGGATCTCTCCAAGGGAGCACCAATCTCCCTAATGCTCCCTAGATTGTGCTCCTCAGAGAAGCATCGAGATGCATACTCTCTGACAAGATCTAGTCAATGGTAGTGTGTCAGTGAAAGGTATAATAGATTTTTTTTAAAAAAAAATTATAATTTGGTAATTTTAAAAATTAATTAAATATAAATTATTTTTTTAATATTATCACTTTATCAAATAAGTAGAAATATTAATGATTGACTAATGATTAAAATTATGTGTTTAGGGGAGATTTTTTTTTGGAGTGGATTGTTCATTTTTAAAACTAATGAACCTTTATAAAATTATGATTAAAACTTAAATGTGTTAGTAATTTTACTCATAAATTTTTAATTTTTATAGAAATTAAGAATAGCGGTAAGATTAATCTGAAAGATATTCAAATTTGAGGGCATTGCTTGAAATAACTTGGACAACCGTGCATATTTTATACCAATAGAATATATAGATGCAGTCATTTGCCTGACGGCTGATGGCTGCTTCCTAATTGCTCATATCTGGTTCGCTTGGTTCCTTTCTCATTGAGAATTTGAAACAAGAAATTAAATATATGTATATCAATTGAACCTGACTTTTTATTTTCGACTCTCTATGCAAATTTTGTGGAAAGCACTGCTTAATTTCTGCACTGCAATCTTGGGTTAATTCTGCAATTTTGGATTTATCGTAAGGGAATTTTATGTGTTACGGTTAGATTTTAATATTTATAAGATAGTAGTTTCACAAAATGATTATGATATTTTTATCTAGAAACATTTTTTTATTCTATTCTGACTCATACAAAGTTAATATTAAGAGAAAATTGATATTAGCTATTCAAAAAGTAAAGGAAATGGTCATTCTATCCTTAAAAAATGAACTAAATACGAGAAGGATTATTCACTCGGAACAACGATCGAATACAATAACCATTCCACCAAACTAAATATGCTGTGAAAGTTTGAGGTAAATAAGAGTAAATTTCAGGGAAGCAAAACGTGCTATTACAGCCAATAATGAATAAGAGCCGAAGTCCAAGCAACCTTTTTGCATGAAAATTAGCCCAAGATCCTTAACTCCCAGACTCTGAGGTCCCTTTTTGCATGAAAGAAAACCCAAGATCCTTAACCCCAAAGTCCAAGGTCCCTTTTGCATGAAAACTAGCCCAAGATTCTTAACCAATTTTTTGGATACGTAGACCAAAAACCTGGTTAGCATTTGCTGGTAATTGGTTCTTTTAACCTTCCGTTGCCTTTTGGCGCCTTATCTGTCCATCTTGGTTGAAAGTTTCTTGCACTAGCCGCAAATCTTCAATCTTTTCTTCTTCTTTCGACATCCATGGCTTTAACTCAACACTTAAAACCCACCATTTCCTTATCCTTCTCTTCCTTTCATCGCCACTCTTCTTTCTCTCCCTTTTTTCCACTCAATTTCCAGACCAAACCATTGTTTTACAGCTCAAGAGTCCATAATCTCCGACCCCCATCTCTCAGTCTCACGTCCTCCAGAAGATTGTTCCTTCTCCCTTCAGTTTCTGGAGTCTGGGATGCTTTGACTGGCAATAACAATGCGAGGGAAGCTGTAATGGCCATAAGACGTGGAATGCTACTGTTCAGACAGGTAAAAAACATGTTTTCTTCTTTCAGTTTCATTTGATTCTTCGTTTTTGTTTCTGTTATTTATGAATTTTTTTTTATTCTTGTTAGGGTGATGTGTCAGGTTCTTTAGCGGAGTTTGACAAGGCAATTGAGTTGGATCCTCGACAAAAGGCATGTAAGTTCCCAACATAAGATTCAAGATTGTCCCTTTTTTTGTCATTTAATAATGCCTGTTATTTTATTTTTTTATTACAATGTCCATGATAGATCTTTGGCAAAGGGGGCTTTCATTGTACTATCTTGAGAGGTACTAGTTCTATCTTTCTGCATTTTCCTTTGCTCTGCTTATGCTAATCATTGTATAGAAAAGGAATGAAATTTCACAAATTTTGATCTTTTTTATGCTTAATAGAGCTTGATTTTATGTTTTATGTTTTGATTTTGTTTGTTCTTCTCATTTTTCTTGGACCAAAGTAAAAGGGGGAAATACTTGTTGTGTTCAGTATTTGGTATAAATTGTGAAGAGATTGAGGTGGGGTTTTGGTTCTCTTTAGGTATGAAGAAGGTGCAGAGCAGTTTAGATTAGATGTTGCACAGAACCCAAATGATACTGAGGAATCAATATGGTGCTTTCTATGTGAAGCTCAATTATATGGAGTAGATGGTGCAAGGCAAAGCTTTTTGGAGGTACGTGCGTATAGAATACATAAGGCTAATAAGGTAGTAAGTAAGCCTTATGACGAATGAGCTTTTGAACGTTTAAAAAACTATGTATCACCTCATCATTCACCACTCAGAGTATCCAACACTAGAGCACAGCATCATAGTCGTGATGAGTTTAGATGAGCTGTTGTTGTACTGATTGCAAAAAGTGATAGCTACATTGTGTTTAAGGTTGAGGGAATAGTACGTGTGTGCGTGTTTATATATAAGTGAACCTTATACTGATCCACATTTTAAATGGATAGACCAGTGCAAGTAGTGTAATTGATTATTGTCTAAATGCAGGTTCGCAGAGATCCAAGACCTGTCATGCGAGAAGCTTATAACATGTTTAAAGATGGAGGTGATCCAGAAAAGGTATTGATTAAGTTGACAACTTCAAATTTGCTTGTTGCCATGCTTTGTACCCCCTTTTCTCGCTTTCTCTCCCTTTCTGTACTAATTTCAAAACAAGTAACCAAAGTAACATTTGCTTTTATTTCCAAATTTCTAACTAAACAATTAATTTTGCTATGTAGCTCGTTGCTGCATTCTCCAATGGCCAGGAGAATGAGTATTTCTATGCTTCTTTATATGCTGGGCTTTACTATGAATCTCAGGTTTGTTCTGATCCTTCAATTTGCTATCTTTAGAAAGTGTCTGTAATACTTGGTAAATGCTAATGACCCATGAACATGTTTGATGTTTCAAGCAAGACTGATTATCACGTTTTCATTGCTTACAAATTGTTCGTATTCTTGGAATTGTTGATTACTGCTTTTCACCTTGCAGAAGAAACCAGATGCAGCCAAAGTTCACATGCTTTCAGCATGTCAGTCTCCTTATGGACAAAGGTTTGAACTGAGAATATGTTCCCATTTCTGGCCACTGCAACTAATAGTCATATAACATTGTTACACATTGCCCAATTTTATTTCAGGTCTGATGATTATATGGCTTCCCTTGCCAAGGTTCACTGTCTTTGTCGAAATTGGAGCCCTGAGTGAAATACTTTGCTCAAGCTTCGTGAAAATGAATATAAATGTTGGTTTCAGGGAAAAAAAAATTATTAGATCACCATAAACGACACATCAATGAGGTAAGGTGAGCTGGATTCTGATATAATATGTGAATAACAAAAGCTGTATCATACATTTCAATATTTTATATTCTCAGTATGCACTGTTCTTGCCTATTTAATTAGGAGTACTGAAGAAGACAATCTGCAAAGCATTGTAAATGATTTAACCCAGGTTACATTGCTGCAATTCAGTGTTGCATAGTGATTTATTAAATTCTGACTCGTGCAGAATCAATACATCAATACAAAACCTCTACTTCTTTGCGCTTTTTTCTCTGTTGTCTGTTTCAGCTTCCATTTTGAAACTCTGGCTACCACTACAATCAAAAGAACCGGACACAAAGTTTCTCTGTAAACTATGATATTGCTATATTTCTGTAGGAAAATCATGTGCTTCAGCTGTTAATGATTTTTCATTTGAACAGAGAAACTTATCTGTCATAAAAATTTGATAAAAAATGCTTCAGATCAGTCTTAACACCAACTAAATGTCATTGTCTAATCCTTATCACATCATCCCACTCTATCCAAAGATACAAAGCTTTGATTTATTGAAAGATTTTAACAGCAGGCAGTTGAAAAACAACTTCTGCATAGAATTGAGAATTGAGCTTTCATATCAAGAAGCAACGAGAGGGTGCCTCAATTTTCTCTCTGAAATGGACTGATCGTCATTTGTTCATGAAGGTTAGACAAGAGTCAGTGTCAGTACTGCTAGGAATCATCCAAGTTTGTGAGCAATGGATGGTTGACATTTAAAAAAAGACAAGCTTCGGAGCCGGTTCACAGTGACCAATTAGTTCTCAAGGTAACCCATGGCAGTTTATGTCCTTCACTTTATAAAATTTATCTTAAACCACAACTCTAGGGAATTTCAACTTTGGCCTCATCCGAAATGAGCTGCTTGATAATTCCGTAAACAGGTAACAACTAGCCGTGGCTTCAGGTTTGTTTTTTGGGATGGTATGGAACACAGCAGCCTTGCCCCTTAGGGTGGCTTTTACCTTGCACAGTAAATATGAGATTCATAAATCTCTTATGTACGGTAAGATAGAATCAAATGATTTAGCCGTACAGGACAAAATACTTATGATTAGCATTAATTTTTTTTTTCTTTTCTCTTTTCCTGGAATGGAACACGGAATCAACTTAAAAAATACTTCGCAGATGCTGCCAATCATTATTGTTTTTTTTTCCTGGGTTAAAATAAGACGAGTTTTAAGCATATGGGGATCTCAAACATATGCCCTTTCAGCATATTCTCCTGTGGCACCACAAAAAGAGAAGGATATTCTTTAGAAGCGATACTGCCACAGCATATGCCGTGCTAAGCTGCAGTTTTGAACTTAGGGATAAAATGTCATGATATCAGAGTCCAATTTGACTAAATTACCTGCTGCTTCATTCTCTCAACATGGGCTATGAAAGAATCTTTGATTCACGGGACGAGACCAACATTCAATCTAAAGCCGTAATGGGATTTCTTTTAACATCACTCTAATGATGAATTCTACCGAAATCCGTCTTATAAGATGCTGTTCAAACGAATTTGCTTAGCGGATAAAATAAGTAAAAGGAATTTTAGTTTCTCTTTGTGGCCAGGAAAATCAGTCAAATCTCCATGCAACTGGGTTTAAAACATGACACATGGCTAGCAAACCTGTTGTCATCTGACGTGTCGCCGGCTCATCTCATCTGACCAAAAGAATTCCATGCAATCTCAAGTCATGATAGCACCACTTTCTTCTCTTCCCGGTAAATATAACCTTCAAAGTCTGGTAATATTAACTGAAAGGAAACTGCATAAACTATTGCTCTTTTCTTTCTGCAAGTTTTCTTTCCACAAGCAAAGAAAGCTTTGGCTTCTTCTTTTTATAGCAAGTGTCAGAAGGACATGCCAACACGAATTCTTGCAGGTTTTGTTGGGATTTCGGCAAGGAGTTTTCCATGTCTTCAGAGAGACTCATTGCAGGTGATGCTATGCGGTCTGACGAGACAATGCATAATCCAACAGCGGCCTTGCCATGGTCTAGTTCTTTCAGACAATGCGGCCAAAAGTATTCGATTTTCGAAGAACTTCCCAAGGCAATGATTGTATCTGTTTCCAGGCCTGATACAGGAGACATGAGTCCCATGCTTCTGTCTTACACCATTGAAGTTCAATACAAACAGGCACTCCCTCTCTCTTCTTTTCTCTCTTTTTGTCTATGTAAGAGTTTTTCTCAATAGACTGCTATCCTTTTTTCACACTAAGGAACTGGGGTTGGCCCTTCTGCAACAATAAGATAGTTGACTGTTAATGGAAAAGAGACGCAACCTCAAGGCAAATAATCTACTCTTTTCAGAAAATTTTAGTGTTTCCCCTCTTCTCATCCAATTCAGTTAGGGAGTTTGATCTGCAAATTATTAATTATTAGGGCTCCATACCCTGATTTTACCATATCTTTGCAAATGTAATGAGATTTTATTGTTGAGAAGGCTAATTGTCCTCTAGGAGACAAGGCCTAAACTCGAACAATCTGTCATATTTGAACATATCTTATAAAGATTATATTTGAATATTTGGGCAACAATTCTTTTTCCTTTTTATATATGTTAGAGAGGTGCAACAGAAACTTATATCAAGTTGGTTTCGCATTGCCCTCTTCATTTGCTTAAATTTCCAACGTACATTAAGATAGATGGAGCATGAATTTGGAAATATCTTAGCCTAAAATGCAGTTTTATTAGATCCTGAATCCGAATGCCGTTTGTGTTAATCAGAAGCGTTCTGTTATTATATTACTAGAATTCCAGCTTTTGATTCAGTTATCTAAACTTATATTGAGAGTTTTGGCAGTAGCCTTTCAAAGCAGAATTACAACTGGAATATGTACATATTGACTCAATTTCTTTTTAACAGTTCAAATGGCAATTGCTGAAGAAGGCTTCGCAAGTTCTCCATCTACACTTCGCATTGAAGAAACGTGCCATAATCGAGGAGTTTCACGAAAAACAGGAACAGGTTTTTCCATTTCCCTTGCAGTTATGCTATTTCTGTAGTTGTAGGCTTGTCCAGTTTAACACTTCCAACTTAGCTCATCCGGGAACTTTACATTCTAGTTGAAAGAATTTAAATTCACCATGAGGATGTATTCTATGATGATCTCTGCTCTTCTTTCTGTTTTCAATTCATACAACTTACTTCTAGTTTATCAATGCATTCTTATTTCAAAGGTTAAAGAATGGCTTCAAAGCTTAGGAATAGTTGACCAGGTAGCAGTAGTGCAAGATGATGATGAACCTGATGATGGAGCCCTTCCTTTACATCACGAAGGAAGTTCGAGAAACAGGTGACTACATACTGTTCTGTCTGGGTTTTGCTTTATAAAGAGAGCCCTCGTCTACCATTGCTATTCTAGTTCTAACAGTTTGGTCCTTGTTCAGAAATGTTCCATCTATTGCTGCTTTGCCTATACTTCGTCCAACACTAGGAGGGCAGCAAATCGTTTCTGACAAAGCCAAAGTGGCAATGCAAGGTTATTTGAATCATTTCCTGGGAAACATGGATATAGTAAATTCTAGAGAGGTGAGCATAAAATCTTGTTCTGAGTTAATATTTGATTCTCTTATTCTGTAACCTGGACTGTTGGACCATTCATTTGACAATAGGCTAGCAATAGGCAATCTTTTCAGCATCTTACAGTTTTCTTTCCTCAATGTTCCTCTAGTTATACCCAGATTATTGTAACTGGGTGGTTTCAAATTTCAGGTCTGCAAATTTTTGGAGGTCTCTAAATTGTCATTTTCATGGGAATATGGTCCAAAGTTAAAAGAAGGGTATGTTATGGTGAAGCATCTATCACAAGTCTCTGGAGATGATGATATTGGATGTTTTCCGTGCCAGTGGTTTAGTTTCTGGAATAACAGTTGGAAAAAGGTAGTTAAATCTCCTATCTGTGGATTTAAGTTTACCAATTGTTTATTGGTTTCTTGCAATATAAATTGAAGCCATATCTTGTTGTCTTTATGCACCTCGCTTGATTATGTTCAGGAATAATTAAGCAGTCCGAACTACACCTAATGACAGCAGATTAGTTATCTCCTTGTTTCTGCATGTAGGTGTGGGCAGTTCTAAAACCAGGGTTCTTGGCATTGCTTGAAGATCCTTTTGACACAAAACTCTTAGACATAGTTTTTTTCGATGTCCTACCAACCTCAAATGAAGATGTGAAGTCCCGGGTGTATTTAGCAGACCAGATAAAGGAACGTAATCCTTTGTTCTATGCATTTAAGGTGAGCTATTTTTTTCATTCTGTTGAAAATAATCCTTCTTGTTGAATGCAGAATATTGATGTGTCCCAAATGTAAATGTGGTAACCAGTCATGGTCTAATCACAGAAGGGAATGCAACTACATTATGCAGTCTTGCAGTAGCCTGAGAAATCTATAACATGTTATATGTAGTGCATGCCTTTGAGTCATATCAGGCACCATCATTCTGTTCTAAGCTCAAATCGCGGCAGAGAGACTCTTCTCAGAAATTTAATATTTGCAATGAAAAGGCATTTTTAGTTTATTTTCATGATTGTTCAATTCCAGCATTCTTCAGCATACTCATTTACCCGCATTGCTTGGCCTTGTAGTTGTGATAGAATCAAGTTTTTTTCTATAAAACATTTAACTAGAAGTTTTTCTTATTCAAGTCTAATGATGGAAATGTGGAAAGGTCTCTCGTGGAAGTCGGAGCATAAATTTTAGAGTTACAAGTAATGGCAAAGCCAAAGAATGGGTTGCTGCAATTAACTATGCAGGCATAGGGGCCCCTGAGGGCTGGTGTTATCCTCACCGCTTTGGTTCCTTTGCTCCTCCAAGAGGTTTGAATGAAGATGGGAGTCAAGCTCAATGGTTTATTGATGGTAAAGCTGCTTTTGAAGCAATAGCTTCTTCAATAGAGAAGGCAAAATCAGAGGTTCATATCTTCCTTTGCCAACACATGAAACAATTTTTGTATTTGTCATCAATGATTGAATTTTTTTTATATGCAGATATTCATAACTGGCTGGTGGCTCTGCCCAGAGCTGTACCTGAGACGCCCTTTTCAAAGTAATTCTTCCTCTAGGCTTGATGACCTACTAGAAGCAAAAGCCAAGCAAGGAGTTCAGGTGCAAATATTTCAACTTCTGCATTGCCATTCGTGATAATTTGCTCTTGTTCTCCTCTAGGGTCTCCTTTACAATCTATCATTATCATATGCCCACAATCATTCCGATTGCTCCTTTTCTATATTAACTAGAATCAGCAATGCAGATTTACATTCTTCTCTACAAGGAGGTTTCTATTGCTTTGAAAATCAACAGTTTGTACAGCAAGAAATTGCTTCGTAACATTCATGAGAATGTGAGGGTGCTGCGCTATCCTGACCATTTGTCAACAGGCATATATTTATGGTATGCAGTTTAGAGAAAAAATTCAGTCCACATTTCTGATAAAAATGCCAATGATCTGCACTTATTGTGATTATTGTTTTGCTATGGTTAAATGCAGGTCCCATCATGAGAAACTTGTTATTGTGGATTACCAGATATGCTTTATTGGAGGTCTAGATTTGTGCTTTGGACGCTATGACACAGTTGAACATAGAGTGGGAGATTGCCCTCCCATTACATGGCCTGGAAAGGACTACTACAATCCCAGGTGTGTTTCTTTCATACTCCTGGAAAAATCATTTCAAAAGACTTAAAAGGAATCAAGTATGCACCTTCAGAATGAATGAATTATGAGGAACAATTTGCAAGAACTAGCTTTGCATGCTGATGATTATAGAAAATATACATTAATAAAAAATTGTATGCAATGAATCTGTCAACATATCAAGTTGAAAGAAATGGTAGGCCACTTCAGAAATTTTGGACATGAGTTGCTTTCTTTGATGGTTCTGTTTAGAGAATCTGAACCTAACTCTTGGGAGGAATCAATGAAAGATGAACTCGAAAGAGGAAAATATCCCCGTATGCCATGGCACGATGTCCACTGTGCTCTATGGGGACCGCCATGTCGTGATGTTGCTAGGCACTTTGTGCAACGTTGGAACCATGCCAAGGTTAGTCTCCTTCATTTCAGACAGCACATTTTTCTCATCTCTGCCAAAGTATATTTTTCTGAAACAGATGAGCTTTTTCTTTCCAGAGAAATAAAGCTCCACATGAGCAAACAATTCCACTACTAATGCCTCAACACCACATGGTCCTCCCTCATTACATGGGAAATAGAGAGATTGACATTGATAGTAAGGGAGAAGACCATCCAATAGACCTCAGCAGACAGGATTCCTTTTCTTCACGGTCACCTTTTGAAGATATCCCACTGCTTTTGCCCCAGGAATCTGATGGACTTGTTGTTTCTAATGGAGACCGGAAGTTAAATGGTCTGCTCAGTAAGCATGATCCTTTATCTCTAGAACATGGAGATCATGGTAGCTCTTTATATTCCCACAATTCTGAAGTTGACTCCTTAGGTTCAGACACACAAATTAAAGTTACTGCAGATGACCACCATTCCATGGATCCTCGAAGTAACCTGGAATCAAATGAAATGCCACAATCAGACATGGAAGTTTCAGATGAATGGTGGGAAACTACTGTGAATGATAATAATGATGCTTCTGCCGATGAATATGGAGAAACTGGCCCTCGCACAGCATGTCATTGTCAGGTTAGCTTTACCTGTGAACGCAAATCGACTGTACTTAGATTAATGACGTTCCATGATTGTGCTGTCATACTTGAATCCGTGCACAGACTTACGCTACAGCTTAGTTTAGCACATCCAATTGTTTTAGAGAACTATGACCATGTTCAAAACGCATTCATCATCCCTCAATGTTAGGCTTCTTAGACTCCTTCATACTTCATTAGCGTACACATTTCTTAACCAGATGAAACTTGCAGGTTATCAGAAGTGTCAGCCAGTGGTCTGCCGGAACCAGTCAAACTGAAGATAGTATTCATAGTGCTTATTGTTCCCTGATTGAGAAAGCAGAACATTTTATTTACATTGAGGTAACATAAGTTGCAGTAGCATCTTCACCCACAGTTAAAAATTCAAGGCCAAGGATAAAATGATTTATCTGTACTTCTTATACTTACCCGTGCTGTTTCTATTGGTTGCTTGCTTGTAGAATCAATTTTTTATATCAGGTCTTGCAGAAGATGAGATTATACAGAACCGTGTCCTGGAAGCATTGTACCAGAGGATTCTGCGTGCATACAAAGAACAGAAATGTTTTCGGGTTGTTGTAGTCATACCACTCTTACCAGGTTTCCAGGTAGAATTCTTTGTATTAGATCCTGAGTTCTAGTTTCAACTCTTAAGATGCTTAGCCTTTTCTTTCTTGGTGAGACAGGGAGGTTTGGATGACACTGGAGCAGCAACTGTTAGAGCCTTGGTTCACTGGCAGTATCGAACAATTTCCAGAGAGAAAACTTCAATATTGCATAATCTGAACGCAAAACTTGGCCATAAAACATGGGATTACATTTCCTTTTATGGTCTGAGATCATATGGTAGACTTTCTGATGGTGGTCCTGCTGCTACCAGTCAGGTATTTCCATCAGGATATAACTCCGATTTTGATTCGTAACCTGTTAATTCATTGAACAAATTCTCATTGTTGATCATACAGATTTACGTGCATAGCAAGTTGATGATTATAGATGATCGTATTGCTTTGATTGGTTCATCTAATATTAACGATAGGAGTTTGCTCGGATCAAGAGACTCTGAGGTACCTTTTTGCATTTCTTTTGATCTTTGAGCATTCTTGTAACATAAATGTTCCAAATGGGAATGGTTACTTAACCCAATATTTAGGAGTTCCTCATCACTTGAAATAGGCCATCAAGTAAAAACTGCTAGTTTTCAAGCATATGTTAGTCACCAGAAGCATAGAGGAAACTATATCTTAGTGTGAATATTGAGGATAATTGTAAGAACTGCATATGCATAAACATTTTATTGCCTCATTACTATACGAGAGAATTACTTGAGTAGTGTCAAGTTAAGCCTTTTAGAGCAAGTAAGTAGAATATTTCAATCTCATATCAGATAAGTAGCAAAATCTTAAAAACTTATAAGTATGAATACTGCATATCCCAATAAATTAATGTTTTGAAAAGAGAATCACAAAACAATGCTTCCTCTGAAATGGGTTATGAGGGATCGCACTAAGCTCATATTTGCTCACCATATTCTCAAATGTGTGGACAAAATCGTATGCAGCTCTTTGATTAGAGTTTTACACGTAATCTAACATGATTGCCTTCATTAGATAACAAAGTCTCCGGACTTTTGTAGAGAAGTTCATCCTGTAATTGACAATGATTGCTGTTTCAGATTGGAGTAGTCATTGAAGACAAGGAATTTCTTGAATCAACTATGAATGGTGAGCCTTGGAAGGCTGGAAAGTTTGCTCATAGCCTGCGGTGCTCACTGTGGTCTGAGCACCTTGGCCTTCATCAAAGAGAGGTCAGTTCAACGATCGATATTAACATTGACCATTCTTCTCTTTCCTTTTTTTTTTTTGTTCCATGTGTTCATGGTTCTCAACATTCTTTTGGTTCATGGGTATCTTCATCAATGAACCAGTGAAATAATGGTTAGAATAATGCATAATCCATTAAATGCTCGTACTTTCTTCAGATCAGTAAGATCAGTGATCCTGTGTTGGAACAAAATTACCGGCAACTATGGCTAGCAACTGCAGAGGTAAGATACTGGTAGGCAAGGTTGCAGGGTGGGGTGCTTAGCCTACTTTTGCTGTGAACTTAACTAATGTTGCATTGCTATAAAAACCTGGCAGGCCAATAGCACAATCTTCCAAGATGTCTTTGCTTGCATCCCCAATGATGTTATGCACTCCAGGTACACTCCTGCAGGGAGATCCTCTCTTTTTTGTTCTATAATCAGAATCCTTTCTTTCTCATATGATCAGTTTCCTGTCAAACACAGAGCTGCTCTGAGACAAGACATGGCCACTTGGAAGGAGAAACTTGGGCACACCACCATTGATTTAGGTGTAGCCCCTGAGAAGCTAGAAACCAAAGAGAATGGAGTGGATGAAACCGAAGATACCAGGAAGAGACTGAAATTGATTAAGGGACATCTTGTTTTATTCCCTTTGAAGTTCATGTGTCAAGAAGATTTGAGACCAGTATTTAATGAGAGTGAGTTTTATGCATCTCCTCAAGTGTTTCATTAAGAATATCATATGGAGCAGCGGCAATACCACACTCACAGATCCTGACTGAAGAAAACGACGAATGGAGTATTGATTACTAGAATACCATAGATACCTCTCTGTGCATAATCTGTACATAATAGGAAAAGAAAATTGCAATTTTTTCAGCTGATTGATTCTCTACAAAGGGCATGATCGACACTCTTTTTTTTTCCGATTTAAATGTAGAAAATGTAGCCTGTACTAATCTTGAAACAGAAAAGGTTCAGCAAAATAAGATCGCAAACAAGACATATAAAGAACATTAACTCTTCCACGTATAAAGAAGATTTAACCTTTCTGTAAGATAAGAGTGAGAATGAAATCTCATTAACTACTTCCTCAAATCTGATGACAAACAAGCAGTGTATCAGACACAAATAAAGCAAAAGTCAGAAAGAATTGAAAGGAACTGATAATAAACTAACCAAGAAAGATTCAAGGGAGCTGATAAAACAGAGTATCATCCCCACATCAGCCAACATGCTATCACCTCTTGCGAAAAAAAATTTGCCACCTCTTCTGGCAAGCCCTAGATAAAAAGGTACGGTCCCCTAGTCAAAGCAAGGCAGTTAAACTCGTCTTTTCTTAGGAAGCCGGCATCCATTATGTGGACGTCTAGTGGTGTCCTCAATGTGTACAACAGGATTATCTGACCGAGAATTACTAAAGCCCTCACGAAAGCTGAGGATTGCTTGCCTTTTCTTCTTAAAATGAGTAAAACCTTTCACTCTTACCACAACTGATTTAATCCCCATATTTCTTGCCAGCCGCCCCACATGTTCTGCTGTTGCTTCAGCAGCATACCGAGACACTTTTGCGCCCCCTTTTAGCTCAGACAAATGTCCAGATGAGGCTCCACATTTCTTATTTCCATTTGAATCTGTCACAGTGACAAAGGTATTGTTGCGCATAAGCTTTACATGCACAAAATCAGCATCTTGCTCAAAATTTTTGTATCGAGGAAATTGAGAACCCCCAAAGATGCTCTTTCCATCTTCATCTAGTACTTTCCTCACAAAGTTCATGGACTTGAAATCCCTCCCTGTCTCAAAATCCATCTGATGTGAAGGATCCCTCCCTGTCTCAGAATTCCTCTGATATGAAGGATCCCTCCCTGTCTCAAAATTCCTCTGATATGAAGGATCCCTTCCTGTCTCAAAATTCCTCTGATATGAAGGATGCCTAAAACTCCGGAAACCCGAAGCATATAGAGCAGAGACATTATTGTTCACACTCTGTTGATCCAAATTCATCTCCGGATTTCCAACATTCTCAGAAAATTGTGCACCCGCACTGAAACTCTTTAAACAACCTATAAAATAAAATCAGTTAGGCCAATGGGAAAAAGACTATTGAAAAATATTTTCAACAAATAAGTTATTTAGCCCAATATTATACTTAGCGTACAAACAACATCCACAAATCAATTCATCACAAGTTTATTTATAGTCAAAGTTGCTCAACTTAGTCTTATAAGTATATCCAATGGAGGTTCAAAACAAACAATGAAAAGGTTTTTCACTTTATATTTCATTCACCACCCAATATGAAACAAAATAAATGAATCCACACAAATCAAGCTAGAAACTGCTACTTAATGTTTAGGGAACACAATACATAATGCCACAATTTTGATCAATTCTGTCAACTAATAAACTACGCATTACTAAAAACTCCTCAAGCCGCGACCTTCTTCTATTCGACACCAACAAATAACAAGAAAGTATAACCAACCACCTAGAATCTAAAAAAAAAAACTACTCAAATGACCCTACATTTAGTTAATACAATAAATTCTATTCCTTTAAAGCAACACTTACCTAGGTGAAATAAAAAATTTAAAAATAGACAAAACAAGCAGATGGGTTGACAAGAATCAAAACATAATCTTTTTGCACTTAAAGTCAGTTCGGGTTCCTAGCATTTCTTTGGGAATTTCACAATCTTGTTACAAACAATTAAATTCATAACAACTGGTTAGCTCATTGCTACTTCATATTCTGTCCGCCAACAGTTTGCAAAACTACTCAATGAAAGTTCCAAACTTTGCAGAAGCTTAGCTTCTAACTTTTAACCAATGATTTAATTTCCAAGATTGAGCAGAAAATCAAGACCTAAAAACGATCAAATAATTGTAACATTTCTCATTTTTTATGCGATCAAAATGAGAATGAAAAAGGGAAAAAAAAAAAAAGGAGGGGTTGGGGGTAGGGAGGGAACTTGCCTAGAAAACCAGAGCGGTTGGAGGAAGCTTGAGAGACCCAGTTGAAGCTGCTAAAGCGTTGAAGCAAAGCTGAAGTAGAGAAAAGCCGAGCTTGTCGAATTGAAGACGAACGGTACATCTTTTTCTTCTCTGGGTTTTTCCCTTCGGTTTCAGATTTTGCTCAGTAAAGATCAAATCTTTGATCGATAAACAACCAAAAAGTATGAGAAAAAGAAAATGCTGGGGTTTTGCGGCCTATCTTAGGATGAACCTCAAACGAAGCCCAACCCGATTACCTTATTTTTGGGCCAGATGATCCAAGAGACCTTCTTTTATATCTTATTTTTATCCAGGACCCGACCCGAGGCCCAACCCAAACAAAACTTTGGCAATACAAAAAAAAATATTTATTTATATTTACACTTTTTTTCTGAAAAATTTAAATTTTAATATAAAATACATCAAAATCAACTTCGTAAAAACTAAATATAAATAAATATTTAGAATGGGAAGAAATACTAGTTTCAGATTATTTGTTCCATAGGACTAGGAGTTGATTTTCTTAGATTTTTTTTTTTTGTTAAGTTAGCCATGGGCGTTTAAGTGGGTCGGTAACATTTTCAATCCAAGTGGATCTTGCAATCATTTGATCTTGTTCTGTCTTTGTCATTTCTGCACCATGGCCATGCATAATTGGATGAGGAGCCAAAAATGTTCCCACCATGAATCTTGTAATCATTATATAAGTATTCTAATTAAATCTTTTAATTTTTTTATGAAAAAGTAAGTAAAATATTATTAGATAATAATTATTTAAATTCGTTTCCTAATTGTGAAAGTTTGTGAAAGCGAAAAGGATATTGATTTATATAATTAGTCAATTAATCTGCACATAAATTAACTTCACGGCTTGTGATAAACATAGTTAACATGATTATTTTATTAATGGAATTCTAATTTAAAGTAAGAAAATGATTTTTAAAATAGAATCCTTGTTGCTTTACCACAAAGGAAGAAAAGGATCCACTCTTTCTCATTATTTTATTACTAATATGATTTGTAGCAATCAAAACAAAGTAAATAAAGTTCAATATCCCTTGATGTTTGATTATTTAATAAGTATTTTTATGTTTGTGATTGTGGACAGTATCAAGAGAAATACAAGATGTCACAATCTCAAAGAAGAATCGTGAATTGCATATTTAACTATGTACTAGAGTAAAATTGATTATTCAAGTATTTAATGTCAGACAAAATTATAAACTCTAATGAATTAAAATAAATAATATTTTATAGATTAATATGGATCATGAAATAAAGTAATTCGATCCCTTCCTCCCCTTTTCGGGCACTCCTTAGGGAAAACACGAGGAGGGTAATTCCCATGAAGATTAATGTAGCTGAACATGGTTGAAGCAGCACAATCAGTTGTTAGGTTCATTAATGTAGAGTCTCCTCCACGCTCTTGACTGTGCAGGTTAACCAAAACCGCCCCTTTGCTTCAGATATTTCAGACAAAGACCTGTAGCATTCCTTTTCTGAGATGGTAACCCTTATGTTGAGTTGAGGAACATTGCATGTTAATTATTATGCATATGGTGACAAATTGACAACCAGGATTTGGTCACTTTGGTCTTCTAATCATGTCTGAGTTTTCACCAATTTACTGCAGTGTTTAGTGAAGCCTGGAGTGGACCAAAGATAAAAGGACAGCTGAGAGGTTGTACGATGTATAATGTCCAGTAGCATAGAGTTAAATGTACAGTTCTGCCCTTGGTTCAATCATTATTAACTACATAGGGGTAATATCAGGCAAAAGCAAAGAAGTTTTGTTATGGATGAGACTGGACTAGTTAGCTCGAATCAATCATTTCCATGGACTAAGTAAATAGAACAAGATATGTGAATGAAAGTGGACATTTTTTTATCAATTGCATTGAACTAAGAAATACAATATTTGATCGATAGGTACTTTTAGGAGCAATTTACCTCGCTCATTTACATTAGTACTATTTTGAAGTTGTAACAAGATTAGCTTCAGGCTGAGATACAGCAGATGAGTGGAAGAAGAGGCAGATGGCTGAAATATCATCCATTGCAATACCCTTCCTCTTCTTTTTCCAAGCATGGGCAGCACACTCGACCAGGCATTTAGCTGCCTTCGCCTTGTCGGGTGTTGAAGATACAATTTGGACTGCTTCCTGATTGGAAATAACATCCCATACCTGCAGGGACAGAAGCATAAAAAATTTGTTAGCCTAGTCTAAGCACTTCACCTTTCTTCATTTCAACTTAAGTAACGAGATTTGATCACATATCAAGAATTTGTCATAGTATTCAACTTTTCTTCAAAGTCTTAGTAGACATGCATACCCCATCAGTTGCAAGCACAACAAATTGGTCTCTGCTGGTTATACGTCTCTGTGTGACTTCAGGAACGGAAATAAGTCCATACTCCTTTATGCAGTAATCCCCAAAAGCTCTAGACATTGCCAGTCCCGGTGACTCCTCATGGGGCAGCCAAACCCTGTGCACACCTGGCTCATCACGCAAACAGAACACCCGCCCTTTGCACTGAATTATCCGCTCAGCCTCCTCTGCAAGCAAGATCAACCAAAAACATAAGAATTCTTGATGGTTTGCTATTTCATTTGAGGAGAGTTTGACAGAGTACTCACGAGGTAAATTGGGTTTGAAATCAACAGTAAGCTGAATGGGAATCAAGTCTCCATCATCTGAAGTTGTTGCCAAAACAGCCCGAGAATCACCGATATTGGCTACATACATGAGGTCACCCTGCCCAATATAAATGGGAAATTATTCTCACTAGCAGTGCAAAGATCAAGTACAAGTAAATATCCCAATGCACATCCACCTGCTAAGCAATTAGCCTGAATTCCACATAGAAGGCAGGGCAGTTTTCCAGTAATACTAACTTCACCTTTTTACACATCTATACATTACCAGAAGTAAAAGCTCCAGTTACCTGTCTGACAATTGTCAAGGCAGTTGTTCCACTGTAGAAGGAATCAATCTTCCGACACTGTTGGAGCTCCTGATCAACAGCAGCACAAGTCTTTAGATAAGAATGCTTCCATATATCGAATCTCTGATGCTTTTTATCTGATTCCAAATCGATGTCCGGGTCAAGGGATGTCTGAGCTAGAGTCTCTTGCCAATGGCAAAGCAAGGACGAAGGCATTGATTCGCGGACCTTTTTCGCTACAAAATGACCCCATGGACCATGGCCATCAAATATCCCACAAAATAGCATGTCTGCTTGACATCCAAATTCCTATTTCCAGTAAGAAGAAGCCATATTTAATCAACCAGAAACCAAAAGAGAAAAAAGGAACTAGATTGCCAAGGCCGTTAATCTACCAAGTAAAAATTATTGTCATACCTCCCATACAAATGCGCAATCCTGGTTCACTCCTTTTCTGCCCCTCTTGGAAAAAACTGAGGCTAAATTGTTGGAACCGTCAACATTTACAAAACCAGAAGACCTCAAAATCAGGTCATTCTTCTTTGCATCCTTTGCCATTGCCTCAGCAGCTTCTCTTCCATCATCATTCTCTGAATTTTTCCCTCTTCTAATAGGAAACGACCTTGCTAATCCATTGAACATGGAGGAAAAATGCCTCATTGCCTCTAGAATTCAATACCCACTACCTCAAAAAAAACAAAATGATGTTTCCTTGTTGTAGATCCAAAACCTGCCCATTGGAAACAAATAAATAGTCACATAAACTTCAAATCGTGAAAGACTGACAAGCAAAGGAAATAGTATAAAATTGTCAAGGAAGGAAGCTTTCTACATAATTTTTTTGTTCCGTTCAAATTCTTGCTTCAGAAACAGTAGAAGGTTAAAGCATATTGAATCTGAGTGATACTGTTAGCCAAGAAAAGACATGATCTGACTCAGAAAGGTAGGAATCTAACAATTTAAAAACACAAAAAACAAGGACCTGTGAATCTGAAAGACAAAACAGAGAATATTCATTATGATAGGGAATTCCAATATCCCTCCATCTAGAATTTTGAAGGAGGAGCTAAACAAGTACTACTAGTAAATAGATAAAAGCCCTCCACACCATAGACTTAGCTGGCTATCCCATCAACTGGTCTGTTTGGTTGCTGAGAAAAGAAAATGGGAAAAAGGGAAAACTGAAATTGCAATCTTTTTAGCATGTTGAAGGACTTGGCAAGTGGCGACTTGAAAGTGAAAAAGGAAATCTAGAGTTCGCTAGAACTTCAAGGTAGTTGGTATTTCCCTTTATAGTAATGGCAAAAAATTAAAAGGAAATACAGAGTTCGGGTTTCCTTAGCTCATGATCTTTTCTTCCATTCACTCGGGACCCTTTGGTTTGCTTTACCAGAAAATCAAAGAAAAGGCCAGAAGTATATCTTAAAAAAAACAACAGCAACAAAACTTAATGTGCAAAGTTAGTTTCTGCTTTTAGTTAAGATAGGTAAGGAAATGAAAAGTAACAGAACTTTCTCATGAGACCCAAGAAACTATAAATCTCAAGTTGTATAAGATCAATAAAGATTATCCATTAAGGTGAATCAAAATTTGATCTTGAAGAACAAAAAAATCCAAACTTTTAGCAAGATTTGATTTTTTTTTCTCTCTCACTCTCTTTTCTTTTTAAAAAAAAAGACAGGTCCTTTTAGTATCAAATCTACTCCAAACTAAACTAAAACAAAAACACAATAACCAATCTTTCTTGTCTTCCCCTCTGTTTCCTTCCACTGTCTCTGCAACGAAACAAGCCACTCCAACCAAGAAAAGAAAAAAGAAAAAAGAAAAAAACCACACCAAGACCGAACCAAAAAGAAACAAAAGCAACAAGAAGAAGACCATGTTAGACCTCAACAACCGGTTTGCCGGGAAGCTGATGCAAGCAGCCGGAATGTGACGACGTGATCCTCACAAGAAGGGCTGACAAACTCAGATAGAGAAGATGGAGATGGATCAGAAAAACAATCCATGGGGAAAAGAAAAGGAAGTACTTTTCTTTGTTTTCTTTGTTTTCTTCTGGTTCTCTTAGCTCTTTTTTACCTGTGGAGAAGAAAACAAAGAAAGAAGCAAGGTTGTACATGTATCATTAACATGCAAACAACAAAACCAAACTACAACAGTTCTTTTGCTTTTCAAACATTTTGCACACCAAAACCAACTTTTTTGCCTTGGCCTTTTTGGTTAAACCTTTACACGTTTCTTACTATATTTAAACAAGTTTAGTTAATTTTTTATGATTTTTTTCTCATATACGGTTTGAATGTGTTTTCTACAAATCCAGTTCATGATTTGTTGTATAAAATTTCCATGTTAGCATGGATTATTAGGAAAAGAAAATGAGAATTTGTTGATTCAAATTGGGGGGTTGTGTCCCATTGGTTGAATCAAGGGGGGGTCAACTTTGGTTAGCCAAAAATGGGCATGACTTCTTGCTTTTAGGTTATCAAAAATTGGGTTATTCATTTATTGTTCAATTAATAGACTTAATTTTAAGTTAATTGCATTAACAAGTTTTTAAATATGTTCTGGAACTTAGCTAATTGGTATGAAATTATGAGCTATATTATATAGACACACAATTTTCAATATTTTTATCATTATTAAAAATTTATTTTGCTCCCATAATAGCAATCAAAAGCAGCATTTTAAACATGTACTCCATCCCCAACAGTGTGCTTGGAATTTGATTAAGATATTCCAAAATCCCAAATTATTGGTAACATCCAGATATTTTTATATAATTAACATAAAAAAAATAAAAAACTTTGTTTCGTGCTCTAGACTAAAATAAAATGATTTTCATGAAACAGATAAGCATGCCATCCTACTATTTTTTGAACAGTTCAATGACTTTTTGTTGTCCCAATACAGATTTGATTAAAAATATATTCAAAAAATGGAATATTTATAGAAATAACAATATAATTATTTGAATATTAATGTACTCTTCTTTTTAGCAAATAACCAAAGTTTTGCCAAGAATTCTATGCCGTACACATGGCTAATTATTAGCCAGCAGCTTCTTTCATAGACCGAGAACACCACCCAAATTCTTTCCTGTTTCCAAATCATTAAGTAATCATTATGATTAATTTATTTTATATTAACCATTAATTAAACAAATCATGAACAAGAAGTGGTATAGCGAGAAAATTAATTTTTGTATAAAGATGTGCATCATGTATGACTATTTAAAATAATTAAAATTTGGTCCAAGAAGATGGAGATAATTTAATTTTTCGAATTTACGTCATTTGTGATACATACATCAAAAGATAAAAAAAAAAAGACCTTTTTAAATAATTCAGTGAAAAAAATAAATGGTACCTAAATATTATTTATAATTATGATAATTTACCATATATTTTTGACAACTTGTGTTATTTTAGTGAAAAAGTAAAGGAATAATAATTTTTTTTTTCTTGTGAATTTTGATATTCATGGTCGGCCAGCTCCTGACCCAGGACTTGGTTTAGGTGACCTGTGAATGAGGCTATCTTTGATGTAGACTCTTTAGTCAACGTGCCCCAAACAAAGGACCAATCTTGGGGATATTGTCAAAGAACACTGTTTGCTTAAATTGAATCTGATAACATATTTGCAACATACTAGGATCTTTCCTTTTCTCTGTTATTAAACCGTGTTGGAAAAATGCAGTTAATTAATAGTATTATATAAGTATATGGTTCATATTACTTCATACAGTTTTAACAGTTTTTGCATTGAAACATTTGATTCAATGACAAGTGTAGGTATTTTTTGTTATGAAAGTTTGGTTCGAATGCTTTCTTCTCCCAAATATACATGATGCATGTGTTTGGACAAGGAATTTTTTTGCCATAAAAAGGCTAAAAGGTTGCTTGGCTACTTGCTAGTAGAGTAGGCTATGGAGCAACTACATGGGGTTGAAGATATTGCATTGGAAACTGCCTGACAAGTTGCAGAAATGGGGACCAAGCTTTTAGGTCTGTGTATGGATTCTTAAACCTTGTTGAAAAGATGAACCTAGTTGATAGAATGATTTAATTTTATGTTTTATATTAATTCATTGAATTTTATAATGGTACTTATACCCATTACTTAATTGCATGATGCAGGAATTTGAACAAGGATATAAAAAGGTTAACAGGTTGCTTTGCTAACTTGCTAGTGGAGAGAGGTTGTGGAGCAACTGCATGCTGTAAGATTTGCTTAAGATACTTGAGTTGCACAAGTAATGGAATTGCGGCAATGGGGGGACCAAGCTCTTTGACCTGAGCATGGGTTTTGGGATGGGAACAAAAGCTGGTGCAGGTTTTAGATGTTTGCATTTTGTCTGATGCTTAAAGGGTTGGTGATGGCAGGGTTGCGCATGGGATTACATAATATTCGTTTAGTCTTCTAGTTTCTATGATTACATCATTACACGAACCATTAGCAGGGGCGGAGCCTCCTTATGGGATGAGGGACCCCCAAAATTTAAAAAATATATATATAAAAATTTATTATTTATTATATAATTTTTTTAATAAATTTTTATTATATAAATTCCTATAAACCATCAACCATTAATCATATTCGTTTTCTTTGTTTTTATTCTATCATATATGAATTCTATCTTCTACTTGTCATATTCATCTTTTTTATATTATGTGAATTTTATTTTTTATAATTTTAATATTTAAAAATAAATAAATTATTATATAATTTTTAAATATAAATTACAGCTTTTCATTGTTATTTAAAATTTCATCAATACATCATTTTTAATTCAAAATAATCAATGCATTTTAGCATGTATGTTGTTGCAAATTTTAAGTAACAAAGATATACATATAAATTAATAAAATAAAATAATTGTATTTCTTTCAAAATAAATTTATTTATTTTATATTTTTAATGGCTCTCAAAATAATTTTTTATTTAATTAGTTTTATTCTTCAAACTGTTTGATAAAATTAAAATAATTATGGTTAATATATTACTAATTAAGCCCAATAAATAAATTATAAACTAATATGTTAAGCCTATCAAATTTTTTAAAAAAATAAAAGTGAGTCTACTAATACAAACTCATTAAATTTTAATATAAATCTAAGTCTATCATAATATATTATATATTAACAATCTAACATAGTATCCTATCATAACATATCATATCTTAATAGTTCAACTCAATAACCCAATATGTTAATTAGCAATTTAAGAGGTAAATAGAAAATAAGAAAAGTGTCAAAACAAAGAGATAATTTATTTGAATTTGAAAAATTATTTTCTCTTCCATGTTTATGCGCAAAGATTGAAAGAGACTCTTTTTATAGTTTCATTCAGTTATATATATAAATGATACCATTATTACTGTTAATGTTTTTTTTTTTGTATGTCCAATACCTTTTGAATTTTATTTAATTTTTTAAATAATTGATAATTAAATTATATATAAAATTCTCTTTAATTATTTAATGTTTCTTTTTGTTTAACCCACTTTTTAAAAATGCTCTAACTCCACCCTTGATTCTAAGATATTGAATAAAAAAAAAGGAATTAATTTTCTCTGGGTTTTCATTTTTTCTTATGACAAAATGAGAAAGAAGCAACCCAAACTCACACTATCCATGATCATGCAAGTGTCTTTTTTCCCTCGTTTAGTTCATTTCTAGGATGAGAAAGAGGAAATTAATGCCGATCCTGCTATAGCAAATATTAAAACAAGAAGGCAGACTTTTCGTCTGATTGAATTGATAATTTCAGGGTCAAAACAATTAAATTCTCATGAAACAGGTGGTGGTTGGGTGGCATTGAAATTCTAGAGGGAGAAGTTTAATCTAAGGGAACACTTGTTTTTGGCAAGAATACGAGTCTGTTTATATTCTGAATATGCGTGTGTTGAGCAATTATTGTTCTTTTTTCAACGTGTAACACTCACGTTTATAAATTTTTAAAAATTTTTCTATATACTTAACATGAGATTGAAAATATCGTATTTATTTCCTCTTCAACACTTACCCTGATACAAGTACTCACTCCTAACGTGTCTCAATATTTCCTAAACCTACATGGACAAAATCAATGACATTACGATACTGAAAAATGGACCCATCAAAGGTAAAATTCAGGTATCTCTATGTGGAAGCCCTTTGAATAAAGACGTGCGGAAACAATCCATGAACAGATCCCGTGCTGATTTTCTTGCATTTTTGCATCTAATTCAGTCAAGCAAAGGTTCAACTTTTTCTCTTTTTTCTTGTTTTTCTAATAAGTTTTTCAATCTTCCATGCACTTTTTCATGAACCCAATCATGCAATCTCAATATTTAATAATATTAGGTTGTTTTAATTACTTCCCATTTGGCTAGTGGCAGGAGGAAACAAATAACAGGTAGACCATCCCATGAAAGAATTCATAGAAAAAATAATCATCTAAATCTTGCAAATTGGATCTAAGGTAGGATATCATAGAATAAGAAAATGAAGGGGAAGGAGACTTGACCTTTACCTAAAACCACGGGCGTAACATAATTACAAATGCATATATCAAACCTATACACGTAGATTGATATTATATTAATCATATGTATATATATGAAACCTAAAGCATGAAAAATTAATGTTTTATTCAAAGAAATAAATTCATATTTTTTATAGTCGAATATCTGATGCATAGTAATAAATGTACATATTTTTTATTTAAAAATAATAATCAAATCTTTCTTTTTTATAAAGAAAAAATCTCCGTTGCCAAAAAAAAAAAAAAAAAATGTAAATATCAGTTATCAATGATGATAGTTTAAGCATGTACATTACCGACCAAGAAAGAAGATTAGGCATGTAAAAAACGTGTACATATCTTTTGTGAACAAAGATCAGGGCTCAAGATGACTCACAGAAAAATCCTACCAGCATCCTAGGTATAAGACACAGACAAAAGTCTCTGTCCAGTAAAATTTGAGGTCAAGGAAGGGGAACAAGTGTGTGGAGATGAGAGAAAGGCATGGTTTGTTAAGGCTACGACCCATACCCAACTAGCTAGAATGTGATGGCTTTGGGATGTTCATGTCGGTAACATGCACTTATCCATCATGGAGTTTTTGTGACTAGTACCCAACTTTTTCTTCAAACTTCACATCATGGTTTTTTTCCAAGGAGTATATGCATTTTCCACAAATATGTCCTTGAATTTGAATTTGAGTTTGACATTAATTAAAACTGTGTTAAATTTAATGATATTTAAGGAAAAAAAGAGTTTAAACCTTAAACGACTCTAAATCCTAAATTTTAAATTATAAATTTAAAATTTAAAATCATCAAAAAATCTGAAATTGCTTGTAATTTGGACTTTAGTGCGTGTTAGTACGTAACATCTCGAAATTATTTGATATACAAGGAGATGATGTAAATGTTAAAATTATGTTGGATGTGTGATGTCTTTAAAAGCAAATAATGATTGACATTGCACCCTTTGAAAATTTGCACCACTCATAATATATTCCAAAATAAGAACATTATAGTTTCTTCTAGTAGTGTTGATTTAAAGATGAGCAGCCGAAGAATTTTCAATGAATTTGATGTTTTAACCTTATTGGGTTTTGAATCATGCTAGAGAAGATATTGGAACGAAAACTTGTACCATCCATCCCTTGGATTATAGACATCATTATTAGAAGCTACACATTTAGGAACTTCATAGTTTTAAATTCTAAAAGCAATCATAATTATGGGATGATGGACGCACATTAACCATATTTTTTTTCCTTTTTTATATAAAAATTTAAATAAAAAATTTGATTTTGATTGTTTTATATTAAAATTTGAGACGGACAAAAATCGGTTAATAATTGATGAAGAGAAATATGAGAAAATTTATTCCCATTAAACCCCACCTAATGATGAATCATGATTGATCAAATACCTTGGATTGGGTCAATTTGGGTATGAGTAACCACATGGAAGATGAGCTGAGCTTGCAAAAGCTGTGATAAAAAAAAGCAAAAACCGAAAAGGAAAGAAGAGCATTGAGACTGCAACGACCCACTGGACGACGACATGATGAGGTCGGTGGAAAGACCACCGGATCATTGATTGCAAGGAGGCCACGGGATCAAGTGGTCCCACCACGTAGCTGTGATTTCAACTAATCAGAAGCCGACATGTACTGAACTCCAGAATCACATGTGGGGCGGCGTACGGGATAGCGACATGTAAAGCGTTTCTTTTCCGCATTTACCCCCAACCAAGCCGGACCCGTCTTTTTTAATTATTTTCCTCTCCGTGTCTATTATTCTTACAAAAATTAAGGTGAAAATTCGAATTTTAATATACTTCATATTAAAATTAAAAATTTTATAGTATAAATATGTATTTTTTTAATATAAAAAATTATGAAAAATAAATTTATAATATATAAAAGTAAAAGAGTATTTCTTGCTTAAAAGGATTTTACTTCGAGGCATCCAAAAAAAAGACAAAAAGAAAATCTTTTTACTGATAGGGTAGGTGTGGACTTTAAACGACCAATTAACGGCATGGATTTTGATGAGAAATCTGGTGCTTTCTTTCAATTGGTTGGCTTGCAATAAAAGGAAGCATGAGCAATTGAGCATCATCCACTAACCTTGAAAAGCCCATTCTTTAAACCCATTTTTTATTAATTCTAAGGGGACTTTATGACATCAAATCCAATTGATTATTTGAAGGTAGTAATGATTTTCAGTATCCAATTAAAATCTTGCCAATAGAATAGAGTAAATGATGCGGCCTAAAAGGATTAACTAACATAAAAAAGAAAGATTAACCATTTTTAATGAATTTTCTAAAATTTCAATTGATATACTTTGGTCGGAATCTACTATAACCAGCAGCCTGTCATGGAAGCCCAGGAAACCCATAAAGTTGTTGCGAAGACATGGATTTGATGTATAAAGCCCGATAACAAGTTAATGATGGCCCACACCGCAGTCCAATGCATAATCTGCCGATGTAAAAATCTTTTTTTTTTTTGTTTTTTCTACCAGCATCCCTACTGACCACGAGCTTTACCAAAAGATGCATCCGGGCTATGCAAGCAAAGTCTTATTGTTACGGTCCTGGGCTTACAAACATGACGCTGCATATTCTAATGAGTTAATCTTTTAAGGAGAAAGATAATAATTTCACGATAAAATAATATCAGAACCAACTTGAATTTGATTTCGATATCATTCCAAACACTCCAACAAGTGGAGTAGACAAGGTGACCCGACTGACATAGATGTCACGAATTTAAGTGGGAGAGAATATTACAGAATCTTACATCGGCTAAGTAAGAAAGGAGTGCTAGACTTATCATCGTAGACACTGCACTGCACATCCCTATAAGTTAACCTTTGGAGAAGAAGATAATGGTCCTGTGACATAATCCTTAAGTTTCTAACTCACTGACATACGTAACAAACCTTCTACTGGATTATACTGAATCAAGTTGCTCTATTTGGAGAATTTTTTAGCTAAGGTCAATAGGAAGAGAACGTTATTTGAAGAATTTTGGGGCCATCCCTGGTAAAATGGAACTCAAATGCTCCTTTGACAGGATTTGACCCTTAAAAATATCTAATTCAAGGTTAAAACTCAGATCTAAAATCGTCAGATGTTGTATGTAAAAGCTAATTGTCTGAGTGTTTATCTGTTAGCGTACAGCACCAATGGCCAAATGCAATCAAACAAATCGATCAGGAAATATTTTTTATAAAAGTGCAGGACAAAACCATGTGCTGCATCAATCATTATCATATCCTAGAGGCTTTGCTAGTGTAAGAGCACCCAATCCAAACTGATGATTAATGTGCCAGCCTACTCTGTTGTACTACAACGCAACAATGTTTGTTCCAAAGAAATGCAACAACACAACAAGATTGTTGCACTGAATTATTGCAGCATGTTATGTTACAGTCCTAGCTACAGTCAGATAAATCCTATTTAACTTGTACCCTCAGGTGCTCGGTTGTTCCTTTGAAAAGGGTTACTTGAGAAAAATCACCCCAGTAAGATGCTTCCATGTTTGACAACGGGAATAACACCACAATAGCTCTAAGATTCAACTAAATAACAAAATTATTTATGCTGTATGTAGGTTTAAATACTAAAGTCCACATTTTTACCTAAGTAATCTATCATAGCATTTAAGGCATGAAGAAGAAAAGACAGTGGCTTAAGAGTTTTAAGATATAAGGCCTTGAACATTAATGCTACAGCAAGGCTAAGCATAAATTTGGATGAAATACTTTGATTGATGTCTGAAGAAAACATTAAACATATTCAATTCGATAGCATAACGGTTAAGAAAAACAGAAAAAGAAAATTTCTCTTCATATTTTAGACAGATATAAGTTCTAGTGGTTTACTTTAGTACCTTGAAAATCATTAGCAAGTCTGTTGAGATCTTAAACTTCATTAAGTAGTTGCATTGTTCATGCGCTCAGCTTGGAACTGTCTTACTAGCTGCAATGCCTGATGATAGAGATTGAGGTCAATACCATCAACATTCCTACCAGCACGTGCCTGCAAGATAGCCTGAAATAAATCATGGAGCATGAACACGTTAGTCTAGGATGGGGATAGGGAGAGCAAACAGAAGGCCTTTAACCTAGTCGTATAGGAATTTACCTCATTGTTGGGTTGAATATGGAGTTCACCGATGAACTGGAAGATGGAGCCAACTCGGAAGCTAAGTTCCCTCAAGTGCTGGGTATCTACCTTTAGGGTGGCACTTTCATCAGCAATAACAGCTATGGCCGTCTCCACAGAGTACTCTTGCAGCCTAGGGATGAATGAAGATTTTTAAGTTCTCCTGAGACAGACTTCCAGTTCCTTCTCTTCCTTTTTTAATATGGATATGACATCACATCATAAAAATTAAGCAACAAACAACTGGAAAATAATGCACTGATTGTGCAATCATCCAGCCACTCAAATCAAGAATACCATTATATAATTGGGTAAGGCATTAAATAATTGTTTAAAATCATTGATATGTTTGCCTAAAATTAATCTTGCTTGGCACCTAAACCATCTGAAATGCTAAAAATTAGCATCAAGACATAGTATTAACCCAATTTGTCGGCACTGGCCATAGATATTTCCCTGGTTAAAGGGCAATCTAGCTGGATTAAAAGAAATTAGTTAATATCCAAATTACTACTGTAAGAAAAGTATAACCCTATGCTTTTCCTCATATTACTTTTCCCTCCTTGGCCCCTTCATACCAATTCAAGATGATCCCCAAAATTGAGAATAATTTATAGCAAGAATGATCAAGAGATCAAACCAGGTATGGTTTGGACACCTAAACAAGAGAAATATTGATGCATGGAAACTCTTACAAACTTTTGTTTTAGGCATTAAATTTGGTGGAGAAGAAAGTATCGACTTTCATTATAAGCCATTAACAGACTTTCTCATGGGGTTAGGCTCAAAAAATTAGACTTACGCATGGGGCACTAGTCTTTTCCATGATGTAGCATAGTGTTAAATTAGAGTGTTCTTCTGTGAATTTTTCTTCCAAACAATCTCCAAACCATAAGTTTTAGATACTAAAAAAATTAGAAATAGAACTCTGCATCAATTCAAAGGGTATCATCCAAGATTACAATTATTTTGAGGGCAGATGGTATGATAAAATAAAGAAACGGATTATTGTTCTATGACCTGTCATGCTACTGAGAGATCACAACATATAAAGGAATCCAGACAAGAGAATAACATTATTTCTAAGAAACCATAGGCCATAACACCTGACATGCAATTATTAAGAAATAATGGGCCATAACAATAACAAACAACATGAAACTGGAAGATCATTTTTATATGTAATATTCTCTAAGCATGTTCATTTCATGTTTTTTCATTTTTTTTTTATCTCAGCCTTTCCTATGTAGACCTTTTTTCTTTTCTCTGGAAACAGAGATGGGATCTGAGAAGCAAATGTTCAGTTTATATTATATGTTATGACATCCATCCTCATTTCCAAAAGACATGGAACACCTTAGAATATAAAGATTCAGAAGCCTAATCTAAAGGTTGGCTTCTGCATTTCTTCTGTGAGGTGGACAACTAGACAAATTCTTACATCAATTCTTCAAGCAAAACCCATCATGAACTTTACCTTTGCCCATCCTTCCAATTGCTACAACCATGTAACCAGGATCACCACTTCTGCCAACATCATACTCACTCATTTGTCATCTACAACCAACAAATACCACGCCACTGTCACCACCTCCACTGCCAAAATATTGAGCCACCTCACATATTCATGTTGACATGGAAAATCTTAGAATATAAAGATTCAGATGTCTAAACTATGGGTTGGGTTCTGCATTCCTTCTGACAACTAGACAAATTCTTGCATCTATTCTTCAAGCAAAACCAATCATGAACTTTACCATTGCCTATCCCTTCAATTACTACTACCATGCAACCAAGATCACCACTCCTGCCAACATCATACTCACGCCATTGTCTCCACCTCCACGGCCAGAATATCAAGCCACCTCACATATTAATGTTGACCTCCTCTGCCTCCAACACCATACTTTGCCACCTCCACCTCCACCTCCCCATAACCATACCACCTCTGCCTCCTAAACCATCAAACTTTACCACCATCATCTCAATCGTCGCCTTCCTTCACCCCCATTCTCACATGAACACCAAAAATTCTAACAATTTCGCATCACTGCAACAACCAGGCCCTTTTTTTCTTCTTCATTTTTGGGCAAGTCTGCAAGAACCAATGTCACCAACACTGTTGCCACAAACCCCAAAACCACTGTCACTATATTAACACGTACTACTACTTCTTTTTGGTACATTGGACCTTGACTATCTCAAAAAACAAACAAACAAGGCCACGTGAAGGGTCGGTGATCAGCTAATAAAGTAGCGAAAATGCATACAAAAAATGAAAAAAGAAAAGGGCCAGGTAAAACTTGTTAGAGCAGAATTCATACTTCCCGGTTACTCTTAGTGAGGCTCCTTCCTTGAAAAACTCGGAAGATGGTTGAAGCTCTGGTAAAGTAACCAATGCCCCTGGTTTAATTGCAGGAGACGCCATTAAACTACCACCCACTCAATTGAAAAAATAACTTTGAATCCTGCCTCTGCCTGGAATATAAAAATAAACCCACCCTGTTCAATAAAATTATCTAACAATTACCCAACTCGTTGAGGAAACCAGTTCCACCAAGGAACCTTTTATCTTAGACCCAGATAAGAGAAGAATAGATAAAAAAAAAATAGCGGGAGATTTTTTTGGCCGTATAAATGAATTGTGGGAAAACGTTTGTTGAAAGAGAAAAAGCAAATGCCAAATCCAAAATTCTATCACGCCAAACATCGAACAATCTATACGCAGTCGATGATAAGAATTAAAAATGATTAGAGGAGCTTGAGCCAGGCCCTGAAACTGCCTTTTGAAGCCCACCATGTATTGACAATATATAAATTATATGGTTAATTAGTCAAATATTGTCACTTTGTTAATAAAAAAAATTTAAAAACAAATATTTATGATTTTAAAAATATTAATTTTAAACAATTTTTGAATTTTTACTTTTATACATTTATGATATATTATCTTACTAGTAAGTGACAGTGTATAAGTATGCTGACAGTACTTTAAATATAAATATTTATTTTTATTAACATAAATATCTTATTTTATCGAAGTTGATTGTTGTAGTAATTTTTAAAAAAATTAATTATTATTTATTTATGAATCATGGTTAATTAATATTGTAAAAAATTATTTTTTGAAAGTTTTGAATAGAATAGTTTTCAAATATATGTTTATTAAAATTTAAATCAATCAAATATTTAAATAATTAATGTTGAAGTTTAGAAAAATTGCACCTTAGCATGTGACTCATTTATTAGTGCATAATCTTCTTATTTAAATAATATCAATTTGAATCTTCTTTTCTTAAAAAAAATTAATTAAAAAGTCAAATTAAAACAATATTTATCTCAAAAAAAGATAATTAAATTTAATGTGAAAGGACTATATTCGATACACTATCAATTCATATTATGTCACGTGTCATCTCATATATATATAAATAAAATATTTTAAGATTTATAAGTATTTACATTTTATAATTTTTAAATTTATTTATTAATGAGAAGATAATATTTAATTTACTAATTGTATTATATAATTATAAACTAACCGTGTGTGAAATATACTTTAGCTTAATTAATATTAATGAGTATTTTATTGATATTAATATGTAGTAGTGATATACTTTTATAATTTTGAAGCCATGAGAAAATAGTTTGAATTAAGAAATGGATATTTTTAGTTATAAGTTCAATATTATTTATTTTAATTAGTAGGTGGAAGACTTTAGGAAAGATTATGTTAGTCCAATTCTGATCCACCAAGGTTCCACCCAAATTGGAATTTGGGAATTAACAAATATTAATTAATAAAATGCAATCATAAGCAATCATTTCATATATGAAGGAAAAGAGAAGCAAAGAGTTGGAAGATGTCAAGAAAGAAGAAGAGAGTTGCAAAGAAGAAAAAGGACAAAAAAAAAAAGGGTTAAGGGAAGAGAGGGTAATTTTGTTGGCAAAGGAATTTTATTGGGCAACTTTAAGTGATGTGGCAGTGGGGTCCAAAGTCAGTATTGGGTTGACTATTGGGGTAGTTGGTCATGGGGGGAAATTGGTATTTTGAAACTACAAAGGGTTAATGTCCTTTTAGGTTAATTAGGATTTTTTTTTTTGTATTTTGAGTTAATTATGGTTTTTTGTATTAACTTTTAATTTTAACAAAAAATTAATTATTTTCAAATTCAATATGAACTGACATTTTCTATTTATATAACATCAAACGTGATAATTAAGTTAACGTGATTGTATCAGTTATTACGTGACTATATCATTAAATTACGTTATATATTAAATTTGATTATTATTAATTTTTTATTAAAATTAAAAATTTATATAATATTATTCAGCATTTTATGTTATATAGCAATATAGCATTAACGTGATATACTGATATGTTATAATTACGAGCAACTCAATAATTTTAAAGCCTAAAGTTAAATTTTCAAATGAAGCATTTTTTATTGAAATTAAAAAATGAAGTTTTTTTTATTGAAGTTAAAGAATAAAAAGCAAATGTGGAAAAAAAATTTACAGGTGGATATTATAACTTGAACAAAATAATTAATTTTACATATAGAAAAAAATAACAACTAGAGACCATTAAATACATATTATCCTTCATTGTGAATGAGAGAAATAATTGAGAATTAATAACATTGTGAGAATTGAAAATTGATAAACAAAATTAAGATTTATTAAGCACGTGGAAATAAGAAAATATGTTATTTTATTAATTAATTTAACTTTTATATATTTTTAATAAAAAATACGATAAATAATTGAAAATCGATAAAGATATGAAAGTCAGAAAAAATAAATATTTATTAGACATGAGAGAATAGGTAGATATTTATTAATTATCTTAATTTTTTATATTTTTAATATAATTAATTATATTATTATAAATTTATAACATTTATGAAAATATCATACCTAAAGCTTTTATTTTGATCGTTTTACTCTAAAATCAACCTTAATCATAATAGATGACGACGTGACTTACTAATGTAGCACGATAATATTGTTATATAAAATTTTTTATCCTTCACATTAATATTATATAAATATAAAATGATACATAATTTTTTTATTAATGATAATAAATTAATTATTAATAAAAAAGCTCAATTTAATGTAAAATAAAAATACACAAACTGACTTAATCATAATAAAAAATAAAAACTTATTTTAATATTTTAAAATAATATCAATCATTATGCCTAAAAAAAATTGTTTAGTTTAATAGGTTTGATGTTTATCCTATGATAGAACAAATTCTTTATTTTTTGTCTTCGTTCTTTTGTTTTATTTAGACCCACAACAAATCAGCAACAGGGAAAGCATCATATCCATTCCTAGGTAATCATGGCTAAACGAAACTAGTATCCCTCGTCTCATCAAACAAAACGACATCATTTATTAAATTAACTTGAAAGGGAACCATTCGTTTGTCAAAAAAAGGAAAATAAAAATAAAACTTAAAAAGAAAAAAAAATGGCACCGGTCCACAGAGTATTTATTAATTAAATTTGGTGGGAGGGGTAAGGTTTCGTTTTCAATTTCATCAATTCATACATGAAAGGCCCACTTGTATTTTAATTATTTTTTGCATCATTTATTGTTTTTATTTTTCATTTTAATATTTTTTTAAATTTTGTTGAGTTTATATTTGGTTACGTTATTTTCATATTTAATGCACGTTATCTTGTTCTCGTTCTTAGATTTGTCTTGTTTGTGGTATTGGAATTGAGTCAACTTCTTTTACATATCGTTGAGTTTGGTTAAAATTTTAAATTTTAATAAAATAAATAAAAATAGAATATAATAGGATAAAATAGTGGTGGTTAATAAATTGCCAACACACCTAGGGGATGGATATATCTATGTTTATATTTACAAACACGTGAAGAGTCATAACTCATCTCAAGTCAATTTTTTGATTATTACATTTCGTATTTCATGAAAATATTTAATATTAGAGTCTAATTAATGAGTATGATTAAATATTATTTTAGAAAATAGTTTAAATTTAATTTACTGTTAAATTGAAGAAGAGTGATGTGTTACGGATCAAAGAGATAAAATAAGTCTTTAAGTTTTTCAAATAAAGGTTTTTAACTAACAAACCTGTTTTTGAATTTAAAATGAGAATTCGTAAAAAATAGTATTAAAGCATGCTTAATTCTTCATTGAATCTTTTATAAGAAATGTTATGATCAATATAATGGTAAACTAAGATGAAAAAAGATATTAGAGTTTAGGTAAATTCGAATCAATATGGATTTCTCTTTTCTATAGATGAAAAAGCTAGTGTAACAAAAACGTTGTATAATTGAGTGGATTAAAATATCACGGATTTTACATTAATAAACTTATAAAAAAAAATTGTTCGCCTAATAAATATAATTTTTGGATTGAAACATGAGTTTTGTAAAAGATACGTGTATTATAAATTTATTTTCTTAAATATCACCTTAATTGACCATTAATTGAACTGTTCCTTAAGATTATAATATTAGTAATTAATCAAACATTGTTTTTCTTGATTCAAGGAAAGAAAAGTATTCCAATTTTATTTTGTAATCAAAAGATTATGTATCGATCATTGAGTGAAAATGCTTGATGAATGAAAATTTAAGTTTATAAATGAACTTTTTTTTTCTTAAGAGGAATTTTGCAATTAAAAATTAAGCCAAACTTTTCAGTGATTAACACATAATCAGTGTAGTTAATGATGCATTATCAAGGTAATGGAAAAAAAATATGATGGCTAACTAGAAAACTACAGGTGAGTCCAGTGACTTTCCTTTTTTGGATTGACTCAGTGCCTTGGTCATTGCCCACCAGTCTGCCTTTTTTATGTTATTTTTTTTTCTTCTTCTTCTTAGCTATGATTTGACCACTAAAATTCATAAATCAATGTCTCATTTTGCAAGTTTAAACTTATAAAAGTTAATAAATTTATTAAGGCCGAAGTTAGTCAATGTGTTTTCCGTCTTTGTCTCCACCAACAAATAAATACACACCCACACAACACGTAAAATTATATTTATTTAATAAATTTAATAAATTGGTTGTTTATTTTTTCAATAAACTCCACTAGCATCAGTTACGGTTTTAATTTTCTTTTCAGATGGGCACTCTTGTAATTTTCTCAATTAGTATCTTATAAATAAGTTTTATTTTTATAGAGAATTACACCGTTAATTTCGTTTCATGAAATTATAAAAAAAATTAAATATAAATAAATAAATTAACTTTTGAATTATGAATGTGTTGATAATTTTATAAGGTGAAATTAACGTTGCAACACTATACGAAAATAGAATTTATTTACAATGTGCTAATTAGAGACAAAAATCACATGCATGAAAAAAATTGAAACAGTAAGAAATATAAATTTTTTTATTTAAAAAATAACAACACGTTAAGGCTGGACATAATTTATATTTTTAATTTGTATTAGTATAAATTTACAATTGAAATAAAAAGAAATAAAAAAGGAAATTTACTCAAAATACTCAATTTTTTTTAAATTTTTGTCATAATCTCATTCATGGTTGGATGGCAAAAGGACCAAGAAGATACCATCTCGATCACATGAACTTAGAAAATGAAGTAAAATATACATCACATAGCAAATCAATGTTCAGTTTACGCATTGAAGTTGACATGGCAACTTCTCATTGGTCAACCAAAGAGAATTCGGTGAAAAAGCAGCAGCGAAAACCAAAGCGAGTAAGCTGTACAAAACACATACCGTGTCGCGTGAGGAGAAAAACTCGAATTCTCGCGATAAAACCGCCACCCCGCCCCACATGGATCAGACTTTTCTTTCGTTGTCATTGTGACTCGCTGCCTGCGCACCACACGTTACTTTTCCTAAACATCGACGCGCGATTTAAAGGGCGTGGGCACGGGACATAGACACCTGCCAACGTGGCTTGCAGAGAAGTGCTCGGATGAACTGCGCCCCACTATCCATTTTTGTGTATGATAAAAAAAAATAATTAATAGTGTTTAATTAATTTTTTTATTTTATATTTGAGATGTAGCGTAATGACAACCGCCAATCCTTTGAATGACATCATAAATTTATCCAATAAAATTAAAAAAAAATGTAAAACCAACATCCAGAAAAATATACTAAAAAATAAAAAAATCTTAATCAAAAATTGAGGGGAGGCTACGTGGGACCCACATAAAAAGGCTCGTGAGCCTATAAAAATGTAGACCTCAAATATATCGCAAGAGAAAAAAGAGGGAGAAAAAATCAGTCAAACAGAGAAATATCGCGACGAAATTAGCCACTCGGAAAAATTCGGTCCTTGTTGAAAAACTCGTGCAATAGGGAAAGCGACTCTACGAAAAGAAAAGGAAAGGAGGGAGGCTGGGGGACCCGACTGGACGTGTGTGCCGAATATTCACTAGATTTGAATTAGTGGTTTCGAATCCGGCCCTTTGCTTTCCTATCAACTCACGCAATGATAAGCTGACAGCAACTCCGATAAGTCATCTTACTTATAATGATAAGTGCACCTATTTTTCACTGATTGGTCAGTAGAAAAAGAAAGACTCCTGTACAACGCATCGAAGATAGCGAGACAAAGTCTCTCTCTCTCTTCTTTATCTTCTCTTCTTCTTCTTCCTCGCAGCCTTTCAAACCCTAGAAATCCTCGAAATTCGAGCGGATATCAACCCTAGAGAGAGTGACTTGAGGAAAATCTCTGCAAATTTATTCAGATTTGAAGTTAGAACTGAGTTAACTCGAGCTCGAGTGGTTCATCGACTCGGCGGGTTTCGGGAGATCAAGTTCTTTTTTGTCTTTGGGGGGAGAAAATGTCGTCGTTAAGCAGAGAATTGGTGTTTCTCATACTTCAGTTTCTGGAGGAAGAGAAATTCAAGGAGTCGGTTCATAAGTAAGCCTTTTTTATCTTTATGTTTTTATTTTTTATTCATTTCTCTGTATACGCGTACGTACCGTATATTCGTATCTTTGTCTTTGTCTTCGTATCTAGTTTTGTGTGTACATGTAGAAGGAAATGAAGGAGGTATTTGTGAATCTGAAGTTTTGCGGTTGCCTTTTTTTTTTTTGGGTTATTGTGGTAAAATTAGTTAATAGAAATTTAAATAGCTACGGTAATTTGAGTTTTAGTGGTCATAAGTAGTGAAAATCAGAGAGGATTTTGGTTGTGAAGGAAGTTTTTGATGCCTTAATTCTGTCAGGCGTAGAGGCTGCTTCTAAGTATTGGAAAATATGCGATGGAATTTTAATCATTGATTTTTCGTCTTTACTAAGTTTGATTTGTTGAGAATCGAAGATGTGAATGAAATTTGGAATGAATTTGTTGTTTCCTGGTTTTAAGTTGTTTGAAAATTTAATTACTAGAAGGAAGAAAAGAATTCAATGAAGAAAGAAGAAGAATTGATAACTCACTTGTAATAATAAGTTGTTTGAAATGTCTCTCTGTTCCCTAGCACATTATTCTGGCCTTACCAAGTAGAGTGAATTGATTTGCATTAGCATCCCTGTGGTTGTGAATTTACGTTTGAAACAATGTCATCTTCTGTAGGCTTGAGAAAGAATCAGGTTTTTTCTTCAACATGAAGTACTTTGAAGAGAAAGTTCAGGCAGGAGAATGGGAAGAAGTTGAGAAGTATTTATCTGGTTTTACAAAAGTTGATGATAACCGATATTCCATGAAGATATTCTTTGAGATAAGGAAGCAGAAGTATCTGGAAGCACTGGATCGGTATTGTTAATGCTTCTGTTGTTTCACTAACAGAATTCCTTAAATTGTTCATTAATGAATAATTTAACTATTTTTTTCCCTGGTGAAGTAGTTTGAATTTATTTTATTGATATTGCAGGCAAGACAAGGCAAAGGGTGTTGAAATATTGGTGAGTGATTTGAAGGTGTTCTCCACATTTAATGAGGAATTGTACAAAGAAATCACTCAACTTTTGACACTGAACAATTTCAGGTAATTTCACCCACAAATAAAGCATACTGGTTAGTTTTCATTTGTCAAACTATAGCATTAATGACTGATTTCTATTCTCTAATCAGTTTGTTTGTCCTGAAATTTGATTGGGTAAAAAGGGAACATGATAGTTGAATTTAAATAGTTTATCTCAAGGAATTTGATTGTAAGGAATTTTTTGTTCAGCTGAACTTAGTTGAAATCTTGATCTTTTTGAGAGAAAATTTCCGTGTCATGCAAGCCAATAGAAAATGAATGCTTGAAATATTCATAATTGTGTAATGGTATTTTTCTCATTGGAATGCAGGGAAAATGAACAGCTGTCCAAATATGGGGATACAAAAACTGCCCGCAGTATAATGTTGATAGAACTTAAAAAACTCATAGAAGCAAATCCACTTTTCCGTGATAAGCTTGCTTTCCCTACTTTGAAGTCTTCAAGACTAAGAACTTTGATCAACCAAAGGTGAAGTTGATATTATACTTGCTTTTAGAGAATTTGGGAAGCAAATATAATTTGTTAGATATTATTATTATTTCTTTTGATTTGCAAGTTTTGGTTCATACAGCTTGAACTGGCAGCATCAGCTATGCAAGAATCCAAGGCCAAATCCAGACATCAAGACTTTATTCACAGATCACACATGTGCGCCTCCAAATGGTCCTCTTGCTCCTACACCTGTCAATCTTCCAGTTGCTGCGGTTGCAAAACCTGCTGCTTATACATCACTTGGAGCTCACAATGTATGATGCCAAACATCTGTAGCATTTTGGCCCTTGAATGTGTATTTATTTACCCATTTCTATAATAATTTTTAGAGTATTGACCAACACATGCTTTGTCCTACTTTATGCATGTAGCCCTTCCCACCAACCGCAGCAGCAGCTAACGCTGGTGCTTTGGCAGGCTGGATGGCCAATGCTTCTGCTTCTTCATCTGTTCAAGCTGCTGTTGTCACTGCATCATCCATACCTGTTCCACAAAATCAAGGTTAGAACTGCAATGCTGATTCACTGGAAATAGCTTTTCAAAGACTGGCAGAATGGACAATTGCTCTATAGAGGCACATCAGCCAACATTAGTCTCAATTGTCAAAACCCCCTTTTAATGTTTTGTTGAAATTTTAGATGTGGATTGGTTCCAGTTGGTGTTCTAATATTAGAATGCCATTTTCGTTATTTATAATTTCTGGCTGTATTAGTCGTAAGGAAGGAAATCTTGTTAGCTGGAACATTTTATTTACTTAATCTATAGATACTGAAGATGCTAACAGACATTTATTTTTCTCTTTTAGTCTGTTCTTCAAATACCGTACGAGGATTGCCTAAATGACTTCGTGATGTCAGATTATATAAATGTCTTAGTAGGTGTATGCCATGATGTTTTCTGCATTTCCATTTGAACAGTTTCAGTCTTGAAGCGTCCAAGAACACCTCCAGCAGCGCCAGGCGTGGTTGAGTATCAGAACCCTGACCATGAACACCTAATGAAAAGATTGCGGCCTGCTCCATCTGTTGAGGAGGTAATTTCTCATGCCTTTTCTATTTTAGTTATTCATTTTTGGATATTTGGTGACTTGTTCTGTCACTTTACAAACCAACTAATCTTAGATTCCCTTGGTTTTGTTTCATTACCAATTTAATATGTTTCTCTGCCTCTATTTTTAGGTTACATATCCTACAGCTTTACGGCAGCAAGCTTGGTCATTGGATGACCTACCAAGAACAGTGGCTTTGACCATGCATCAAGGATCCACAGTCACAAGCATGGATTTTAATCCTTCACAATCCACTTTGCTACTTGGTATGAAAGTTTATTTTTATCATTTGCACCAAGACTCTCTAGAAAATCTCTTTTTACGATATCATGTCATTGGAGCAGTTGGTTCTGCTAATGGTGAAATCACGCTCTGGGAACTTGGAATGCATGAGAGGTTGGTTACAAAGCCATTCAAGATATGGGAAATGTCAACATGTTCAATGACATTTCAGGTTTGTGTGTCATTACTTTCTGAGATATCTCTCTATGCTATTCAAATGTATTGAACTATTGCTGTCATGTGACTCATGTCTGTTTTAGCAATTTCTATCGGTTTCAACATTGCAATTGATTTTGTTGGAAGAGTTACTTGCAGGCTTTGATGGTCAATGATGCAACGATATCTGTCAGCCGTGTGACATGGAGTCCTGATGGAAGTTTTGTAGGTGTGTGCCTTTTTGATAGATTACTGACATTTTAGCTACACATGTGTTTGTACTTATTGCCTTTCTTGCTGCAGGGGTTGCATTTTCCAAACACTTAATTCACTTGTATGCTTATCCTGGGCCAAATGATCTAATCCAGCGCTTAGAGGTTAGTTGATATTTTTTCTATTTCTCCGGCTAAAAGTTTACATGGTGTTTGACTTTTTCTCATTCTTCTTTTTTGACAGATTGATGCCCATGTTGGTGGTGTAAATGACTTAGCTTTTGCTCATCCAAACAAACAACTGTGCATTGTTACCTGTGGAGATGACAAGCTCATAAAGGTGAGACAGTAAATTTTCAGTAAATTTTTGATTAAACTGGATATTTCTTGTTATTATCCTAATGAAAGAATGGAACAGGTGTGGGATTCAATGACGGGACAAAAGCTGTTTAATTTTGAAGGTCATGATGCACCGGTTTATTCCATCTGCCCACATCATAAAGAGAATATTCAGGTAGAATACAAAAAATGTCATTCGTTATTGATTATATATATCTTTTAGTGTTAAGAATAGGGAAAAGTGACCAAGCCTTAATTGCAAAACTGCTGCATCAGTTGCCTCTATTGCTGTCTTGACTGCAACTATAACCAATTCCTGCTACCAACTTGGTAAATGCATGAACTTTCGTATAAGCAATGTGCTCTCACCACCTGTAGTTTATGATTCCCCATCCCGTTTAATATCAATCTCAGAGCTGCCAGCTTTGTCCAAACAATTTCCATACTTCCACTTAGAACTTTACCCTCGATGAGCTTCCTTCTGGTGCTATACTGTTCCAAATATTTGATTCACTCTCTTTAACACTTTAGGCCAGTGTCTTGTGGAGCTTATAGTTTTTTTTTTTTGGTTCAATTCACTGCTTAGTTTACCTTTTCTATTTGAATGGGAATTAATACTTTCATTGGCTAATTATCTACATCATTGCAGTTCATATTTTCAACCGCTGTTGATGGGAAAATTAAGGCTTGGCTGTATGATAATATGGGTTCCAGAGTTGACTATGATGCTCCAGGTCATTGGTGTACTACAATGCTTTACAGTGCTGATGGAAGTAGGTATGATAATGAATTTTAAGATAGGAATTTGAGTAACTTCCTGTTAAAAACTTGAAGTTGTGTTCATTCCCCAAAAAGCTTGTTTGCTGATAACACTTTTAATTAATCCTTTGTTGTCCAGTTTTACATGTTATTCATTTCGTTCTAATTCTGAACTTTTTGTTAACTTTTAATTTTTGTTTTAGATTGTTCTCTTGTGGAACAAGTAAAGATGGTGAATCTTTTCTGGTTGAGTGGAATGAAAGTGAAGGAGCAATAAAGAGGACTTATGTGGGGTTTAGAAAGAAATCAGCAGGTGTGGTGTCATTTGACACGACTCAAAATCACTTTTTAGCTGCAGGAGAAGATAGCCAGATAAAGTTTTGGGACATGGATAATATCAATCTTCTCACTTTCACAGATGCGGAGGGTGGACTCCCTGTAAGTTAAATGTTCAAATTTTATAGCTCTTATGTAAAACATATATGTTATTAGGTTGGGTTTCTAAACAATCATATTAATTGCTTCAGAGTCTACCCCGTGTGAGATTCAATAAGGAAGGAAATCTCCTTGCTGTGACCACAGCAGACAATGGATTCAAAATACTTGCGAATGCTGTGGGTATCAGATCTTTAAGAGCGACTGAAACATCATCTTTTGATCCATTGAGAACACCCATTGTTTCTGCTGCAATTAAGGTTATGATCATTTGGGTTGGCTTAATGTTTCCTTAAGCATGTCTTGAGACCTGCAGGTATTAACTTTTGTGTCTGTTGGTTAGGCTTCTGGCCCTTCTGCAGTTACAAATGCTGGTCCTGTCAGTTGTAAAGTGGAAAGGAGCTCTCCTGTCAGGCCTTCTCCTATACTTGTATGTTAGCTGGCTGTTCCTCACTTTATGATTGAACTTTTTCCTGAACAGTATAGGGTAGTTGGAGCCTGTAGCTTAACCATATGGTTCATCCTGTGGACAGGAACTTTTTGATCTTTCTCTTGGTTGTCACTACAAGCACATTAGGAAATTAGATTTAAGTGCCAAATTTTTTTATCTTATGGATGTTTCCTTTCATTTTTCTTTTCATGCAATAAGGAACATGTGTTTTAAATGGAACCAAGTGGGCTGTTGCCTAGTGTTTGAAAGTGTTTTTCATGCTTATGGTGTTCTTCTTGCAATTGATTTTTTTGTTTTGGCTTGTTTTTCACCCAAGAATGGAGTTGATCCCTTGGGTAGAAGTGTTGAAAAGGCAAGAGTTGTGGATGATGTGATAGAGAAGACTAAACCCTGGCAGTTAGCTGAAATTGTGGATCCTATTCAGTGTCGGTTAGTTACCTTACCTGACAGCACAGATACCTCCAGCAAGGTGTGTTAGTTCTTCTGATAATCAGTTTTATACCTCGCTTTTGTACCATTGAGCTCTGAATCATTGCATCTCTTTGAAGGTTGTTCGGCTTCTATATACCAATTCTGGTGTTGGTATTTTGGCACTTGGGTCAAACGGTGTTCAGAAGCTATGGAAGTGGCCCCGCAATGAGCAGAGTCCATCTGGGAAGGTACAACACTTTCTCTCGAATAACATTACTTGTTTCACTTGTGAGATTTTCTCTATAATTTCTTTTTAATGGAGAGAACTCTAAAGTCCTTTAAACTTTAAAGGCCACTGCCAGTGTTGTTCCACAGCATTGGCAACCAAATAGTGGTCTTCTTATGACTAATGATGTCTCAGGTGTCAACCTGGAAGAGGCTGTACCATGCATAGCACTCTCAAAGAATGATTCTTATGTCATGTCAGCCACTGGTGGCAAAGTTTCTTTATTTAACATGATGACTTTCAAGGTATGCCTTCATGTGCTCTTGTGTTGAATGTTCTTTTTGTTTGGCATGCTAATAACACATGATTTGCAGGTAATGACAACATTCATGTCCCCTCCTCCAGCTTCAACCTTCCTAGCATTCCACCCTCAGGATAATAATATCATAGCAATTGGAATGGAGGATTCAACTATCCATATTTACAATGTTCGGGTGGATGAGGTGATACTTTCTAACTTTTTTTTGATGTGTTCTTACTCTTCTTCTTCCCCTTGTATTATCCTGTTCTCTTAAGTGGTCCCAATGTATTCTGTTTTAAATTTTTAGGTGAAATCAAAATTGAGAGGTCACCAAAAGCGAATAACTGGTTTGGCTTTTTCCACCAGCCTCAATATCTTGGTTTCTTCAGGTGCTGATGCTTACGTAAGTGGTGTCCAGGCTTGTCATATTGACTTATTTTAGTTCATATCGTATCTACAGAGTATAAATGACACAAAACCTCAGGTAATCATAAAAAATAGAGTGATGTTATTACTTGCTAACATCTTGCTGTTCTCTGCAGCTGTGTGTGTGGAGCATTGATACATGGGAGAAAAGGAAATCAGTTGCAATCCAAATCCCAGCAGGAAAGGCACCTACAGGTGACACACGAGTACAGTTTCACTCTGATCAAATTCGCATGCTGGTAGTTCATGAAACGCAGTTAGGAATATACGATGCCTCCAAGATGGAGCGCATACGACAGGTAGGAAAGATGAAAAGTGGTATAGAATTTAATGAAACATATTGCATATGACACAGGGAGCACTTTCTAATCCATTGATATGCTGCAGTGGGTTCCTCAAGATGTTCTGCCTGCGCCAATATCTTATGCAGCATACTCCTGTAACAGCCAATCTGTTTATGCTACCTTTTGTGATGGTAATGTTGGGGTGTTTGATGCTGATAGCCTGAGACTTAGATGCCGTATTTCTTCATCAGTGTACTTGTCCCAGGCAATCTTAAAGGGGTAATTTATCTGTTGTATTCCCATGCAATCAAATTTTTCTGTTGTTGCTTTCATAATGAGTATACTGTTTTTTACAGAAACCAAGCTGTATACCCACTTGTGGTGGCTGCACATCCGATGGAGGCGAACCAATTTGCAATCGGGTTGAGCGATGGATCGGTTAAAGTGATGGAACCCACAGAATCGGAAGGGAAATGGGGAGTGAGTCAACCGGTGGATAACGGTGTGCTGAATGGTAGGACGACGTCGTCATCTACAACTAGCAATCACACACCGGATCAGTTACAAAGATGAGATATGTTATACAACTATCCCAAAGTGTCTTGTGTAATTTATGAAATGTAGATGATTAGGTTCTTGCTTTTTAGTCTGCCATATGTCCCAACCCCAAGCTTATGTAAAAGTAAAGCGCAAATGTTTAGGAATTTGCCCCATTCTTGTATAATCCACCTACTTGATTCATAGTTGTAGTTTTACTTTGCTTGTACTTAACCCCTCCCGAGTGTTTTTCTTTTTTCGTGGAAACAGACGTAATACTATTATTATTATTAATTTTTTTTGCCTAATAAACACAGTAGTAATTCTCATTTCTTGTATTTTTGAGTACTAAATAATCTCTGAGTCTGGAAATAATCATCATCCAATAGGCATTTATATAGATTTATCATGCTGAAAATTAGTAGGGCAAATAGAGACTTAAGATTACTGAAGACTAATGCTTCATTCATTTTAACCCGGGGTGAATTTAATAGAATGTTAATTCATTGTTAGATTAAACTTTCACTGTAGTATGTATATATTTTCAGCCCCCTCCCTTGTCGATTATCAAGGACCCTTTTAATAATAACAAGTTGCATACGCAATTATCAAGGACCCCGGTCTCCTCTTAGGTTCCCGAAGCAATTTTCATCAATCTAAACCCTTCATTTATCGAGATGTACAACAAGTTGGGAAAGATTTAATATGTAATTGTTGTGGACATGACCTATAGCCCAACCCATGTATTTTATTAAGCTTAAAGTGAATTGTTTTTAGTGGCATATGAGCACGCGGAGCTTGGTATGTTAGAAAATATATAGTATAATTGTACAGCAAGTTGAAGAAACAAGAAGAATCAAAACCATATTTTAATTTCATTGCCATGTCTACGTTTCTGCTCAACTCGTCACTACTATCTTACTTTACCTGCCCTTGCTCTTCGATTCTCATTACCCTTTCATTTAATTTTGTTGCTTGTCTTCCATTATCCTTTTTTCCCTTCTCTCGTTCTCACTTTCCTCTACTCTCCACCCAAAACAACAGAATAGAACCTTTCACTTTGATTCTCAGTTGCCTCTTTGTTCGTAGCTATAGTTAACGGAGAAAGCCGCCGTTTCCAATTTCTTACCATTCGGATTATTTGGCTCAATAAGCTCGTTATTTATATATTAGTTCTTTCTGTTTTGCATTCTTTGGTCTGCTCTTTCGTTATCTCTATTCTTCTGTCATTTGCTTTGTTTGTCTGTTAAATACAAAATATGGATCCTGTTATTATTGGTGCTGCTGCCAATGTTTCTTCCGAAGCTGCGAAAGGCATCTTCCGTGAAATTAAACGTCATATGAGATATGTATTCATCTACAAGAAAAATATCGACAAGTTCGAGGAGAAATTGAAGTAGTTGATGGCAAAAAGAACAAGTGTTCAGCAAGAGGTTGATGCTGCAAACAGGAATGGGGAGAAGATAAAAGCCGATGTCGAGCATTGGCGAAAGACAGTGGACCAGGTAATCAATGAAGAGGACAAGAGGGTGAAAGATCTCGAACAAAAAGCAAAGAACAAGTGCTTCATCGGCTTGTGTCCCAATATCAAGTCTCGCTACCAGCTTAGCAGGAAAGCAGAAGATGGTGCCGCGGCCGCTGACGAACTTATCGGGCAATGTCAATTTAATGGAGTGGGATACCTTGATGTTCCAGAAGCTATAGTGGATGCATCTCCTAATGGCTTTGAGACCTTCAAGTCAAGAGAGAAGGTTTTCAACGATATCATGGAGGCAATGAAAGATGCTACTATCAGCATGATAGGGGTGTACGGGATGGGTGGTGTGGGCAAAACATCACTAGTCAATGAAGTTGCCAGACAAGTCCAAGAGGTTAAGTTGTTTGATTCGGTGGTTACCATAACTGTGGCTCAAACTCCTGAGATTGACTGGGATATCCGCAAGCGTATACTCAGCTATAAAATTGAGTTACAATCATTTAGAAAATGAAGAACTCCAACAGGCTTTTCTGCTTTGTAGTCCAGTACGTCGTGATGCAAGCATTGATGACTTGTTGAAATATGCCATTGGTTTGGGTTTAATTAAAGGTGTCGACACCGTGGAGGAAGCACGAAATAGGTTGTTAACAATGGTGAGTAAACTCAAAGCCTTTTGTTTGTTACTTGATAGTAACACCACTGACCAGTACTTTAATGTGCATGATCTTGTTTATGATGTTGCCATGTTAATTGCTTCCGAGGACAATTATGTCTTTGCACCAAAGAAGGAGGATGTTCAGAAAGATTGGCCTGATGAAGAGACAATGAAAAAGTTCTCGATATTAGAGAGCTTCCGGACAAGTTGAGTTGCCCGCACCTTGTTTATTTCCGTATGCTAAAATTATGATATCAAAATTCTACCTAAAGAAATTGGGGGATTGGTTAAGCTAAAATTATTAGATTTAAGTCATTGTACTGAACTCGAAATAATTTCACCAGATGTCTTATCAAGTTTACTTAGAATAGAAGAATTATATATGATGAACACTCCTATTCAATGGGAAGTAGAGGGGCATGCCAATCACCGAAGCAACGCTTAGTCTTGCTGAATTGAAGGATTTGTCTCGTTTGACTGCTTTAGAAGTTAATATTCTTGATGTCACAGCCATGTCAGGGGGCTTGTTCTTTGAAGTGTGGCAAAAGTTGGAAAGATACAAGATTTTGGTAGGAACTGATGACAACATTTGGTTTGAAAAAACTAAGTATGAGCATGAGTATTCAAGGGCTCTGGTACTCGCGTTACGTAGAACTACTTATCATTTGGATCATGGAATTAAGATGCTTTTGAAGAAGACTGAAGCTCTATATTTGGATGGATATACCTGCCAAGATAATTCAGTGATCAAATATATCTTCAATGATAATGGTGCAGCTGATAAAATTGAATTTGCTCAATTACGATATTTGTCATTTAGAGAGCTACCACATCTTATTAGCTTTTGCTCTGAAGACAAGAGCAGCTCTACATCAATGCCTCAACATGAGTTGTCTCTTTTCAGCGGGAAGGTATCTATTAATTTCTGTCTTTTTCTCGTTCTAAGACATATATTGATTTTATTTTCAATTTTCTTAAATTTTAAATTCTTTATATGAACAGTCAACATCCTAAAAAACGTGTGCTAATATATAGTTACATAGATTAATCTTACATGCAATCAGGTTGGTTTTCGTTCGTTCTTTCTTTCAATGTACGTAGAATAGGGCATGTAGGTTGTTGAAATCCTGCAAATGCCTTCTGCACTTCTACCCTTCATGAGTTGTTTCAAAGCTCATTCAGATTAATGAAGTCGAAGATCTTGCTTTTAAAAAAGTTTTAAATTTGTATTATTTTAAAATATCCAGAATGACTTAAAATATAAATTAAATAGGAATTTGGTTACCATTATAAATTTATAAATTTTGCACTCTATAATCTGTTTTAAAAATTGTGTAGTACCATAGTTATTTTTTTTTTGGGTAAACTTATATATATACACGAGAGTCTGATACAATTGTAGGTTTAATTAGAGATCTTAAGGGTCAAGCTTTTGTTCATTTTTGTAAATAAATTTCAACATCAGCATTCGAAAAGTAGGCATAAACTACTCTATATCGAATTATTTTAAAAATTCGGATATCATCTAAATGCCAGCAATTAAATTTCATTACAATTTTATGATTGTTTAAATTTTTTTTTAAAAAAAGTCTTTCTTCCAATGCCTTTACTATTTTTAATGTAAATTAATTACATGTATGCAGATATTGTTCCCTTGCTTGGAGCATTTGGAGTTGCAGTCAACTGGTGTTGAAAGGATATGGCATAATTCTTTCTGCAATCTCGAGAAGTTGACAACATTGATCATCAACGATTGTGCCAACTTAAAACATTTATTAACATATTCCATGGCTAGAAGGCTGGTGCAACTCGAATACTTGGAGATAAGTTCTTGCGATAGTTTAAGAAGACAGCAAGGCTCAGACTTTATTTCCTAAATTAGCCTCTCTAAGCTTAAAGTATCTTTGGCATCTCATTGGATTTTGTTCAAAACATCAGAATATTGAATTTCCATCCTTAAAAGTCACTGGACATAGATAGTTGTCTAGAACTGAAGGGGTTCATATACAAATCTACATTGGAAAGGTAAATTATTGTTAGCATTCTTTTCAGTACCTGTTTTGGTATTTCCATGCCTTTGGCCTTGACTATAGGAACAAATGCTTCTAAACATTTCGTTATTTGACATGATCAATTAATTACGTACAGGTTGCATTTCCTAGTTTGGAGAGAATTTTTATTTCCAACTTGAGCAGCAGAAAGATGATATGCCAGTTGAGAGCATTTCAACTCTACGAGTTGAGAGGTGTCTTTCCCTAGAAGAAATATTTGAAGTTGGAGGAAACACGTGTTGTCACCCCTCAACTAAGAGAGTTGCATATTGAGAATCTACCAAGCCTCAAGTGTATTTGCAGAAATGATCCCCAAGAAATTTTCAAACTTGAAAATTTGCAGGAGATACATGTTAGGGGTTGTCTGAATCTGAAGAACGTATTTCCAGCCTCATTAGCCACATCAGATCTTCCACAACTTAGACATCTTGAAATAGTTGGCTGCGGAGGCAAGCAGATTGTTTCCGAATAGCAAGGATTGGAAACGGCTGTCACTTTGGCTTTCACTTTCCAAGTTGATCAAGTATCCAACTTTTATTTTACTTTTATAGGGCATTACATGAGTCATTAAAAAAATTAAGTAGCATGCAATAATTAAAAAAAAAAAATCACTTGTTTCTTTTGTTTGAACTCATAATCACAATTGATAAATTAAAATTTACTAGTTTCAGTGGAAAAAAGAGAGTAAATCACACTTGTTTCTTTTGTTTTAACCTTTCAAGGATTTTTATTTTGGTTACTCAATTTTGAAAAATCACTAGTGTGATTAAAAAGAAGTCTTCAAAAGTTTGAAAATGTTATCTGAGTGTACGAAGAGTGACATATATCGCATATTTCGTTCGCTTTGCTCAATAATTTGAGGAGGTAATTTATCATTTTTTTTTCTTTGTTTTGTTATTCATTTTTGGATACTTGGTTACTTGTTCTGTCACTTGACAACATGCATAATTAATCTTAGGTTCACTTGGTTTTGTTTCATTACCAATTCAATATGTTTCTCTGCCTCATATCCTACACCACTGCAGCAAGCTTCGTCATTAAAATAGAGTGATGTTATTACTTGCTAACATCTTGCTGTTCTCTGCAGTTGTTTGTGTGGAGCATTGATACATGGGAGAAAAGGAAATCGGTTGCAATTCGAATCCCAGCTGGACAGGCACCTACAGGTGACACACGAGTACAGTTTCACTCTGATCAAATTCGCCTGCTGGTAGTTGGGGAAACACAGTTGGTAATATACGATGCCTCCAAGATGGAGCGCATACGACAGGTAGGAAAGACAAGAAGTGGTATAGATTTTAGTGATATAATATTGCATTGGACAAAGGGAACACTTTCTAATCCATTGATTTGCTGCAGTGGGTTCCTCAAGATGTTCTGCCTGGGCCCATATCTTATGCAGCATACTCCTGACATGATCAACCAAAGTTGGAGTTGATATGATATTTGCTTAAAGAACGGAGAAGCAAAAATAATTTGTTGTTTTTGTATTATTTTTTTCCTCAGCCTAAAAGTAAAAGGTTTGTGGATTAGTGATAAAACAGTGGGGTGTGGTAGAAATGCTACCTTTTAAGAGGTCTAATACACTTAAAACTACAGCCTACACAGACCCACTAAGCACAAGATGAACATGATAAAATAGATGAAAGCATGGCAACACCAAAAAAAATGGTCGAGGATCACTATATCAAAGATGATCAATCACGGATGAAAGTCATAGCATTATGACCAAATAAACAGAGTGGCCACCACTATAGTCACCCGATTCACAGCCATGAAATATAAATAAAATGACAAACAGCAGAAATTTAGACTGCCGAGAAAGAAGAAAGTAGGAGATTGAACCCCACAGGCAATCCAAAATTGAAGGACTGGGGTGCCTGGGTGAGACAGAGTTCACTTCTTTCCCTTGAATTTTTCTCCATTCTCTCCAACTTAGCTTGGGCTAAGGAGTTCTCGGGTCTTCCAAGCTGCGGCTTGGGCCAGCTCCAAAATGAGCCATTGGAGCTATGCTTCGAAACTCAGCTGGTCCAGATTCACTAGCAAGCGCCTCCTCCAGAGGTCGCTTACAGCATACGAGCCCTTGTGCATTATAATTTATAAGCATTGGTTCATACAGCTTGAACTGGCATCATCAGCTATGCATGAATCCAAGGCCTAACCCAGAAAAGACTTTATTCACAGATCACACATGTGCGCCTCCAATTGGTCCTCTGGCACCTACGCCTGTTAATCTTCCAGTAGCAAAACCTGCCGCATATACATCACTTGGAGCTCATAGTGTATGATGCCAAACATCTGTAGCATTTTGTTACTTCCTCGAATGTGTATTTATTTATCCATTTCTATAATAATTTTCTTATTGTTTTGGCTTTGTCCAACTTTTTGCGTATAGCCCTTCCCACCAACCGCAGCTAATGCTAGTGCTTTAGCAGGCTGGATGGCCAATGCTTCTGCCTCTTCATCTGTTCAAGCTGCTGTTGTCACTGCATCATCCATACCTGTTCCGCAAAATCAAGGTTAGAACTTCAATTCTGATCGATTCATTGGAAATAGCTTTTCAAAGACTGGCAGAAGGGACAATTGCTCTATAAAGGCACATCAGCCAACATTAGTCAGAATGGTCAAAACACCCATTTAATCTATGGATACTGAAGATGCTACCAGGCATTTATTTTTCTCTTTTACTCTGTCTTGATGTCAGATTATGTAAACGTCTTAGTAGGTGTATGCCATGATGTTTTCAAATTATTTATCTCTTTAATTTTCATGAAATTTCTTAAATGCAAAATAAATGTCAAGGACTCTTTCTTCTCTTAGGCTCCTGCGTGAAGTTTACATTTGGGCTTTCACAACTGAAAAGGTTAAAAATGAAGACTTTTCGTAAGTCTTGCTTGATAAATGGAAGAGGCGGTCTTATTCACCTACGTAATGGGTGTGCATGATCAAGAATCATTAAACCAAATTTGATTTTTAATGACAAGTTGCATGTACAGTTACCAAGGACCAGTTTCTCTCAATAGCTTCACGATCAAATCCAAACCTTTCATTTATCAAGCGTGAAGTGTACGTTTGGGTTTATGGCATACGTCGTAATTGAATTGTTCTTGGTGGCAATTGACCACACGAAGCTTGGCAAAAAAGAAACCAGATGAAGGAACAAGGAAGGTTAGTGGCATACGTTGGAAAATATAATATTGTACAGCAAGTTGAAGAAACAAAAAACATCAAACCCATAATTTAATTACATTGTCAGTTGTTACAATACCCAGATAGACACATCATTTCTGCTCACCTCATATGACTATTATTTTGCTTTAGCTTCCTTTGCTCTTCTCATCCTCAAAACCCTTTCATTTGTTGCTTTTGTCTTCTGTTATCATTTTTCCCTTTTGTTTCTTTCTCGTCTTCTCTCATTCCTCTACTTTCCACCCAAAAAACCAGAACCTTTCACTTTGATTCTTAGTTGCCACTTCGTTCATAGCTATAGCTTATGGACAAAGCCGCCATATCCAATTTCTCACCATTCTGATTACTCGGCTTGCTCAAATCGTTATTGATATATTAGTTCTTGCTGTTTTCATTTTTGGGTCTGCTCACCCGTTATATTTGTTCTACTGTCATTTACTTTCCTTATCTGTTGAATAAAAACAAATGGATCCTGTTATTACCGGTGCTGCTGCCAGGGTTTCCTCCGAAGTTGGGAAAGGCATCTTCCAAGAAATTAAACGTCATATGAGATATGTAATCATCTACAAGCCAAATATTGACAAGTTTGGGGAGAAATTGAAGTCATTGATAGCAAAAAGAACAACTGTGCAGCAAGAGGTTGCTGTTGCAGATAATAACGGGGAGAAGATAAAAGCGGACGTCGAGCATTGGTGCAACACAGTGGACAGGGTAATCAATGAAGAGGAGAAGAAGGTGAAGGATCTTGAAGACAAAGCAAAGAACAAGTGCTTCGTTGGCTTGTGTCCCAATATCAAGTCTCGCTATCAGCTTAGCAAGCAAGCAAATAAAGGTACAGTGGTTGTTGACAACCTTATCCAACTGGGTCAATTTAATGGAGTGGGATATATTGATGTTCCAAAGGCTATACTGGGCGCATCTCCTAATGGCTTTGAGACCTTTAAATCAAGAGAGAAGGTTTTCAACGATATCATGGAGGCAACGAAAGATGCCACCATCAGCATGATAGGAGTGTATGGGATGCCTGGTGTGGGCAAAACATTACTTGTCAAAGAAGTTGCAAGACAAGTCCAAGAGGTTAAGCTATTTGATTCTGTGGTTACCATAACTGTGGCTCAAACTCCTGACATTCAGAAAATTCAAGAAAATATTGCAGAGTTATTGGGTTTAAGACTAGAAGATAAAAGTACGGATGTAAGAGCGCGTAGATTGCATGAAAGGTTGAAGAAAGAGAAAACGGTTCTTGTTGTTTTAGATGATATTTGGAAGAGACTAGATCTCGAGGAAGTCGGAATTCCATTTGGAAGCAGACACAAGGGATGCAAGATATTGTTGACGTCAAGAGATCAACATGTTCTCTCCAATGGGATGGATGCCGATAAAACTTTTGCAATTGATGATTTAGACGATGAAGAATCTTGGGACTTGTTTAGGAAGATGGCTGGGGCCGAAAGCTTTGAAAGTGCTGAGTTGCGCTCTACAGCAATTGAGGTAGCCAAAAAATGTGCAAGATTGCCGCTGGCCATTGCAACCGTTGCAAAGGCATTGAGAAATAAAAGTTTATTTGCTTGGAAGGATGCTTTACGACAACTACAGAAGCCTTCCTCAAGAAATTTCACTGGAATATCCGCAGACGTATATTCAGCTATAGAGTTGAGTTACAATCATTTAGCAAATGAAGAACTCAAACAGGTTTTTCTGCTTTGCGGTTTAGTGCGTCGTGATACAAGCATTGATGACTTGTTGAAATACACCATTGGTTTGAGTTTAATTGAAGGTGTCGACACCGTGGAGGAAGCACGAAATAGGTTGTTAACAATGGTGAGTGACCTCAAAGCCTCTTGTTTGTTACTTGATAGTAACACCAGTTATCGTTACTTTGATATGCATGATCTTGTTTATGATGTTGCCATGTCAATCGCTTCTAAGGACAATCATGTTTTTGCATTTAACAAGGAGGATGTTTTGAAAGATTGGCCTGATGAAGAGACAATGAAAAAGTGCGACAAGATTCATTTGGGATTTGCCAGTATTAGAGAGCTTCCTGACGAGTTGAATTGCCCACAACTTGTTTATTTCCATGTGTTTAGCAAGGATGGTTCCCTGATAATGCCACCTGACTTCTTCAAGGAAACAACAAATCTTAAAGTCTTACATTTGACTTATATGTATTTTTCTTTATCTTCGTCCATTTGTCACCTAACAAGTCTTCGCACATTGTGTCTATGTGCATGTGCATTGACAGATATAGCTATTATTGGAGAGCTCAAGAATTTAGAAATTCTTAGCTTTTCGAATTCTTATATCAAAACTCTACCTAAAGAAATTGGGCGATTAGTTAAGCTAAAGTTATTAGATTTAAGTCATTGTATTAAGCTCGAAATAATTTCACCAGATGTCTTATCAAGTTTGATCAGATTAGAAGAACTATATATGTATGGTACTTCTATTCAATGGGAAGTAGGGGGACATGCCAACCAACGAACCAATGCTAGTCTTGCTGAATTGACGGCTTTGTCTTGTTTGACAACTTTAGAAGTTCATATTCCTGATGCCGAGGCCGTGCTAGGGGGATTGTTCTTTAAAGAGTTGCAAAAGTTGGAGAGATACAAGATTTTCATAGGAAAGGAATGGGAATGGTTTGGTGAGTATGAATATTCAAGGACTCTGGGACTCAAGTTAAGTACAAGCGTTGATCATTTGGCTCATGGAATTAAGATCTTGTTGAAGAAAATTGAAGCTCTGTATTTAGATGAATTGAAAGGTGTCAAGATTGCTATCCAAGAGTTAGAAGATGAGGAAAGCTTATCGCATTTGAAGTATCTTTGTATCCAAAACGGTTCGGTGATCAAATATATAATTAATGATAAGGGTGTAGTTGATGAAATTCAATTTCCTCAATTACGATCTTTGATACTTCAAAATCTACCGCAACTCATTAGCTTTTGCTTTGAAGACAAGAGCGACTCTACTTCAATATCTCAACATGAGTTACCTCTTTTCAATGAAAAGGTATTTATTAATCTCTATCTTTTACTTATTCTAAGGTATATGTTGATTTCATTTCCAACTTCCTTAGATTTTCTACATATAATCAATCAATGTTCTTAAATATTAAATTTGTATTATTTTAGAATATTTATTATGAGTCAAAATATAAACCACTATAAATTTATAAATTTGGCACTCTATAATTCGTTTAGAAAATTGTGTAGTGCTACACTTGTCTTTTCTTAAACTTAAATACGAAAGTCTGACATAATTGTTGGTTTAGTTAGAGATTTTAAGTTCAATTCTATAAATAAATTTCAATATCAACATTATCCTACTGTATATTTATTTTTTAAAAATTTAGATATCATCTAAATGCCAACAATTGTAACAATTCTATGATTGTTTAATGCTAAAAAACTAGTCTTTCTTCCGTTGTCTTTTTTATTATTTTGTATTATTTTTAATGTAAATTAATTGCATGCTTGTAGATGTTGTTCCCTTGCTTGGAGAATTTGCAGCTGTCCTCAACTAATGTTGAAAAGATATGGCATAATTCTTTCTGCAATCATGAGAATTTGACAACACTGATCGTCCAAGATTGTGGCAACTTAAAACATTTTTTATCATTTTCCATAGCCAGAAGGCTAGTGCATCTCAAATACTTGGAGATAATTGGATGTATGTCCTTAAAAGAGATCATTTCCATAGAGGATATCGACGAAGAAAGCAAGACCATGATTTTATTTCCTCAATTGGCCTCTCTAGAGTTAAGGGATCTTCAGCATCTCATCGGATTTTGCTCAAAATGTCAGAATGTTGAATTTCCATCTTTGAAGTCGCTAAAGATAATAAACTGTCCAGAACTGAAGGGGTTCATATACAACTCTACAAAGGAAGGGAGGAGCCAACATTTCTCCAGTCAAGCTCTCTTCGATGAAAAGGTAAATTATTGTTAGCATTCTTTTCGATACTTGCTTACCCGTTAGCATTCCCATACAATCAGCTAATGTTCTCAAATATTAAATTTGTATTATTTTACAACATGTTTTATGAGTCTAAATATAAATTGAAAAGAAATTTGACACCATTATGAATTTATAATTTAATACTCTGTGATTCGTTTAGAAATTTATATAATGGTATATTTATCCTTTCTTAAACTTATATACGAGAACTTAATATAATTGTAAGTTTAGTTAAAGATCTTTAGTTTGAGATTTTGTTCAATTTTATAAAAAAATTTCAACATAAAAAATTAGGCATGACCTACTCTATATTTAATTAGTTAAAAATTTGGATATCATATAAATGCCAACTATTGGATCTCATCTAAGTTGTTGTAATTCAATGATTGTTTAAAAGTAAATTAACTAGTCTTTTTAACTTTTTTGTATCATTATTAATGTAGATTAATTACATGTCTGTAGGTGTTGTTCTCTTGCTTGGAGAATTTGCAATTGTGCTCAATTAATGTTGAAAGGATATGGCATAATGAGCTTTCAATTAGTTCTTTCTACAATCATGAGAACTTGACAAATTTGGTGATCAAGGATTGTGGCAGCTTAAAACATATATTATCATTTTCTATGGCTAGAAGGCTAGTGCATCTCGAGTACTTGGAGATAATTGGATGCAAGTGCATAAAAGAGATAATTTCCACAGAGGATATCGAAGAAGAAAGCAAGGCTAAGATTTTATTTCCTCAATTGAACTCTCTAGAGTTAAGGAATATTGAATTGCCATCCTTGAAGTTGCTGAACATGGACAGCTGCCCAGAATTGAGGGGGTTCATATGCAAATCTAAAATGGAACGGAGCCAATGTTGCTCTAGTGAAGCTCTTTTTGATGAAAAGGTAGATTATTGTTAGCATTCTTTTCTGTACTTGTTTTCCTATTTCCATGCATTTGGCCTTGATTATAGAAACAAATGCTTCTAAGCATTTGTTTAACTGGCATGAATCAATTACGCACAGGTTGCATTTCCTAATTTGGAGGGAATTTTTATTTCCAACTTGAGAAGCATCAACATGATATGGCAGAACCAACTCCCTGTGAATTCCTTTCGCAAACTACAACGAATGGAAGTTGTAAATTGTGATTATTTATTGACCATTTTCCCATCTGATACGTTGGGAGCACTTGAAGGATTGCAAACTCTACGAGTTGAGAGATGTGTTTTCCTGGAAGAAATATTTGAAGTCGAAAGGTCAAGTATGGAAGAAACACGAGCTGTCACCACTCAACTAAGAGAATTGTTTATTAAGAATCTACCAAACTTGAAGTCTATTTGGAAAAAGGATCCCCAAGGATTTTTTACATTTGAAAATCTGCGGGTGATACATCTCTGGTGCTGTTTGAATCTGAAGAATGTATTTCCAGCCTCAATAGCCAGAGTTCTCCCACAACTTAGAGATCTTTGTATAGATGACTGCGGAGTGGAGGAGATTGTTTCCAAAGAGGAAGGATTGAAAACGGCTGTCACTTTCGAGTTTAATCAAGTATCCTCCCTTAAGCTTTGGAACCTACCGCAACTCAAGTGTTTCTACCCGGGGGTGCATGCGACCAAGTGGCCAATGTTAAAACAGTTGAAAGCATATAAATGTGGCAAAACGAAGATATTAGGTACAGAACGTTTCAGCATCGTAGATACGCCTAACGTTTTAGTTCATCCACCACTTTTTTTGGCTGAAAAGGTATGCATGCACCTCCTCGACTCTTTTCTAAATTGATTAAGATGGATGCTCGCGCCTATGTGAAAGGTTTCTTGGTCCTTATAATGTGCTAGCTATGATACATCCAACTTTAGTAAATTAGAGTGCAAAGCATCATATTAGTCAAATGTGATCTTGCCAAAATATTTTATTTTGTTTTTATAAGGCATTGTATGTGTCATCAAGGACTAGTTAATTAGTAGAATTTATACAAATTGAGTAGTACGTAATAATTTTGTTTTTTAAAAAAAATCACTTGTTTTGTTTAGACTCAGAATCACAATTGATAAATTTAAATTTACTAGTTTAATTAAAAAAAAGTAAATAAGGTGTTTAATTACTTATCTTTTTGAAGATTTTTATTTTAGTTACTCAACTTGAAAAATCATGATTTGATCACTAAGATTTGGAAAAATTAATATTTTGATCACTTAATTAATACAAGCTAACAGGCTAACTAACGTTGCTTTTCACGTATGTTGACATTCAGCACATGTCACGCGACAAACAAAGTTAGCCAATCGATAGCATCGAATGATTGAGTAATCAAAATATTAACTTTCACGAATGTTAATGATCAAATTGTGATTTTTCAAAATTAAGTAATCAAAATAAAAATTTTAGAAAAGTTTAGTGTAAAGGTGCAATAAGAATTGGAGTAATATATAGACCATGTATACCTTGTTTATATCGAACCCTACATTTGAATTGCAAGAATTGAAAATAATTATGATTAGAAAGAAGTCTTGAAAAGTTTGAAATGTAATATAAGCACATGAAGACTTGCACAAGCGACGTATTGTGTTTGCCTTGCTCAATTAGTTGCGGAGGTAATTTCTCATTTTTTTCTTTTTTAAGTCATTCATTTTTTATATTGAGTTATTTGTTTTGTCACTTTACAACTTAATTAATTTTAAATTCTAACATACTTTATCTCACATTAGATGTGAGTGTAATTGTTAAAATTTATATAAAGCTCTAAATAATTTACTATTAACAACTTGCGTTTCAACTTTCAAGAGTCATATGATTTAAGTTTAAAAAGTTATTGAGTCAGTAATATTTGGACAAAAATCGTAGTATTGGAGATTTTATCACCCCGATATGGGCTTTCACATTACGCTGTTGACAAATTCCCTTGCTTTTTTTCCATTACCAATTTAATATGTTTCTGTACCTCTATTTTTGGTCACATATCCTACACCACGACAGCAAGCTTGGTCATTGGATGACCTACCAACAACAGTGGCCTTGACCATGCATCAAGGATCTACGGTGACGAGCATGGATTTTCATCCATCGCAGCACACATTGCTACTCGGTATGAAAGTTTATTTTTATCCTTGGCACCAAGACTAGCTTGAAACTTGTCTCTTTTTATGATACAATGTCTTTAAAGAGCAGTTGGTTCTGCTAATGCTGAAATCACACTGTGGGAACTTGGAATGCGTAAGAGGTTTATTACAAAGTCATTCAAAATATGGGATATGGCGACATGTTCAATGACATGTCAGGTTTGTGTGTCATTACTTATTGAGATTTCTTCGTATGTTGTACTTTTTCGAATGTATTGAACTATTGCAGTCGTGTGACTCATGTCTGTTTTAGCAATTTCTATGGGTTTCAACATTGCAATTTATTTTGTTGGAAGAGTTACTTGCAGGCTTTGATGGTCAATGATACACCCATATCTGTCAAACGTGTCACATGGAGTCCTGATGGAAGTATTGTAGGTGTGTGCCTTTTTGATAGATTACAAACATTTTTGTTTGTATATTGTTTGTACTCATTGCCTTTCTTGTTGCAGGGGTTTCATTTTCCAAACACTTAATTCACTTGTATGCTTATCCTGGATCTAATGATCTAAAACAACACTTAGAGGTTTGTTGATAAATTTTCTACTTCTCAAGGTAAATGAGTACATAACTGGTGTTTGACTATTGCTTCTTGTTCTTCTTTTTTTAACAGATTGATGCCCATGTTGGTAGTGTAAATGACTTAGCTTTTGCTCATCCAAACATACAACTGTATATTGTTACCTGTGGTGATGACAAGCTCATAAAGGTGAAAGATGGTAAATTTTCACTAAAAGTTTAGATTAAACTGGATATTTCTTGTTATTATCCTGATGGAAGAAATGGAACAGGTGTGGGATTCAATGACGGGACAAAAGCTGTTTACTTTTGAAGGTCATGATGCACCAGTGTATTCCATCTGCCCACATCAGAAACAGAATATTCCGGTAGAAATACAAAAAATGTCGTTGGTTACTCATTATATATACTTTTTAGTGTTAAGAATAGGAAACAAGTGACCAAGCCTTAATTGCAAAACTGCTGCACCAGTTGCCCTTGTTTCCGTCTTGACTGCAACTCAAACCAATCCCTACTACCTAAAGATGCTGTCTCAACCAACTTGATAAATGCACGTAATTTCGTATAACATTGTGCTCCCACCAGTCACCACCTGTAATTTATGATTCCCCATGTGGTTTAATATCCATCACAGAGCTGCCTGCTTTTTTAAACCATTTCCATACTGCTCCAAAACATTTGACTCACTATCTTTTAACCTTTTAGGCCAATGTCTTGTGGAGATTATAGTGTTTGTTGGTTCAATTGAATGCTTAACTTACCTTTGCAATTTGGATGGGAATTTATACTTTCATTTGCTGATTATCTACATCATTGCAGCTCATATATTCAACTGCTGTCGATGGGACAATTATACTCTGGCAGTATAATGATCTGCATTTCAGAGCTGACTTTGTTGCTCTAGGTCATGCGTGTACTACAATGCTTTACAGTGCTGATGGAAGTAGGTATGATCACTAATTTTAAGATAGGAATTTTAGTAATTTCCTGTTAAAAACTTGGAGTTGTGTTCATTCTCCAAAAAGTTTGTTTGCTCATAACACCTTTAATTAACCCTTTGTTGTCTAAAATTACATGTTATTCATTTTGTTCTAATTTTGAACTTTTTGTTAATATCTAATTTTTGTTTCAGATTGTTCACTTGTGGAACAAGTGAAGAGGGACAATCTTATATGGCTGAGTGGTATAAAAGTCAAAGAGTAGTAAAGAGGATTTATACTGGGTTTAGAAAGAAATCAGCAGGTGTGGTGTCATTTGACACGACGCAAAATCAATTTTTAACTGCAGGAGAAGATAGTCAGATTAAGTTTTGGGACATGGATAGTAGCAAACTTCTCACTTTCACAGATGCAGAGGGTGGACTCCCTGTAAGTTAAATGCTCAAATTTTATAGCTCTTTTTGAAGCAGGTATGCTATTAAGTTTGGTATCTAAACAATCATATTAATTGCTTCAGAGTCTTCCCCGTGTGAGATTCAATAAGGAAGGAAATCTCCTTGCTGTCACTACAGCAGACAATGGATTCAAAATACTTGCCAATGATGTGGGTCTCAGATCTTTAAAAGTTGTGGATGATGCAGTAGAAAAGACTAAACCTTGGCAATTAGCAGAATTTGTGGATCCTATTCAGTGTCGGTTAGTTACCTTACCTGACAGCACGGATACTTCCAGCAAGGTTTGTTAATTCTTCTAACAATCAGTTTTATACCGTGCTTTTGCACTATTTAGCTCTGAATCATTGCATCCCTTTGAAGGTTGTTCGGCTTCTATATACCAATTCTGGTGTTGGTATTTTGGCTCTTGGGTCAAACGGTGTTCAGAAGCTATGGAAGTGGCCCCGCAATGAACAGAATCCATCTGGGGAGGTACAACACTTTCTCTAGAATAAGATTGCTTGCTTGTTTCACTTGTAAGATTTTCTTTATAAATTCCTTTTTATTGGAAAGGAAAACTCTAAAGCCGTTTAAACTTCAAAGGCCACGGCCAATGTCGTCCCACAGCATTGGCAACCAAACAGTGGTCTTCTTATGACTAATGATGTCTCAGGTGTCAACCTGGAAGAAGCGGTACCGTGCATAACACTCTCAAAGAATGATTCATATGTAATGTCAGCCACCGGTGGAAAAGTTTCTTTGTTTAACATGATGACATTCAAGGTATGCCTTCATGTGCTCTTGTTGAATGTACCTTTTGTTTGCAATGCCAGTAACATATGATGTGCAGGTAATGGCAACATTCTTGCCTCCTCGTCCAGCGTCAACCTTCCTAGCATTCTATCCTCGGGATAAAAATATCATAGCGATTGGAATGGATGATTCAACTATTTATATTTACAATGTTCAGGTGGATAAGGTGATACTTGCTAGCAATTTTTTTGGTGTGTTCTTATTATTCTTCTTCCCCTTGTGTTATACTGCTCTCTTAAGTGGTTCCAGTATATTCTGTTTTAAAATTTTTAGGTGAAATCAAAATTGAGAGGTCACCAAAAGCGAATAACTGGTTTGGCTTTTTCAACCAACCTCAATATCTTGGTTTCGTCAGGTGCTGATGCTCATGTAAGTGGAATCCAGGCTTGTCATTTTTACTTATTTTAGTCCATATCTTATCTATGGAGTGTAAATGATACAGAACTATTAACTTTCGAAAAAATCATTAAAAAATAGAAAAGATATAACTAATTTTGCCAGTTGGTTTTTCTACATAATTTTGTCAATTGTTTACGTTTAATTTTTTATATTTTTATAATGCTCATGCTTTCTTCTTTCATTTGGTTTAGGATCTTTTACGTGTTTCTGGTAACTTCCTTATTGATAATTACAGAGTCCTGCTCCCACTACTGGCCATGCATATTACTTGCTAACATCTTGCTGTTCTCTGCAGCTGTGTGTGTGGAGCATTTTTACATGGGTGAAAAGGAAATCGGTTGCAATGCAAATGCCAGCTGGAAAGTCACCTACAGGTGACACACGAGTACAGTTTCACTCCGATCAAATTCGCTTGCTGGTAGTTCATGAAACCCAGTTAGCAATATACAATGCCTCCAAGATGGAGCGCATACGACAGGTAGGAAAGACAAAATGTGGTGTAGATTTTAATGATATAATATTGAATTTGACAGAGGGAACACTTTCTAATCCATTGACTTGCTGCAGTGGGTTCCTCAAGATGTTCTGCCTGCGCCCATATCTTATGCAACATTCTCCTGTAACAGCCAATCTGTTTATACTACCTTTTGTGATGGTAATGTTGGGGTGTTTGAGGCTGATAGCCTGAGACTTAGATGTCGTATTGCTTCGTCAGTTTACCTGTCCCAGGCAATCTTAAGGGGGTAAGTTATCTGTTGTATTCCCATGCAAGCATGGTGCCTGTAGTCGCCTTTAAATTCTTGTTAGTAGGTTTTGGTGCATTGCATGTACTACAGCAACCATTCAAATTTTTCTGGTGTTGCTTTCAGAATGAGTATACTCTTTTTTTAACAGAAAGCAAGCTGTATACCCACTTGTGGTGGCTGCACATCCGATGGAGGCAAACCAATTTGCAATCGGGTTGAGCGACGGATCCGTTAAAGTGATGGAGCCCACAGAATCGGAAGGGGAATGGTGAGTGAGTCAACCGACCGATAACCGATTGGTGAATGGTAGGACGACGTCGTCATCTACAACGAGCAATCACACACCGGATCAGTTAGAAAGATGAGGTCTGTTATGCTATCCAAAAGTGTCTTGTGTAATTTTATGAAATGTAGATGCTTAGGTTCTAACTTTTTAGTCTACCATATGTCCCAACCCCAGCTTATTTAAAAGTAAGGGTAAATGTTTTAGGAATTGCCCCATTCTTGTATAATCCTCCTACTAGATTCATAGTTGTTGTAGTTTTAATTTGCTTGTACTTAACCCCTTCCTAGTGTTTTTCTTTTTTCTTAGAAACAGACTTAATACTATTATTATTATTATTATTATTATTGCCTAATAAACTCATTAGTAATTTTAATTTCTTGTGTTTTGAGTACTAAATTATCTTTCAATCAAGAAATAATCACCATCCAATAGGCATATGTATATATATCATGCTGAGCCTGCAGAAAAGAAGGGTAAACAGAGACTTAACTAAGATTAATAAAGACTAATGCTTCATTTTTAACTAAAGGTGAATTTAATAGAACGTTAATTCATTGTTAGATTTAACTTCCCCTATAGTATGTATAAATTTATCTCTGAATCATGGCATCTCTTTGAAGGTGGTTCGGCTTCTATACACCACATGGCATTAACAGAACCCAAAACAAGGCGTAATCACAGTCCCAATCTAAAAGATTATTTTTTTACTGAATAAATTCTGATTTTTTGTATTTTGTGATTTTTTAAATACTTAAAGTCTCAATAAATAATTCTTCCAATAAACAAAACTATTGTACTTTGCAAATTATTCACATGGAAAGTTTATTTTTATCCTTGGCATCAAAACTGGCTTGAAACTTGGCCCATTGTAGGGTAATAGTGTCGTTGAAGCAGTTGGTCCTGCTAATGGTGAAATCACACCTTGAGAGTTTTATTACAAAGCCATTCAAGATATGTGAGATGGCGACATGTTCAAATTTACATTTTAGATTTATTTGTCATTACATACAGAGATTTCCCTCCACCTTATATTATTTCAAAGGTATTAAGCTATTGCAGTCATTTCTATGGGTTCATCATTGCAATTGATTTTGTTGAAAGATTTACTTTCAGCCTTTGTTGACTTGTGGCAGACAAACTGAGATTTGGGAGATCTCACAACTCTTTAAGTCTCAAATCAAAAGAAAAAAGAAGAAAGATTTCAATTGATGTTGTGATAATTATGCAGACGCTTTCTTCTACTTTTGGCGTGTGGTTCTTTATAAATGGATAAGCAGTAGTAAAGAATAATTGAAGTGCAACTGCTGGGCCACATGGCCTATGATATGGCCCCAACCCCATATTTTTTAAGTTGGCATATATGATTTCTTGAGTAGTAACAGTGCCAATAAAAAATCCTCATTCACTGGACAAAGTGGCCCATGTGAAAAAGTGTCCAAAGCAACGGGCCATTGGAGCAATGCTGCGAAGCTCACCTGGTCCACATTCACTAGCAACGGGCTCCTCCAGACGTCTCTTACCTCGATCAGCAAACGAGCCTTTGTACATTATTATTATTTTCATTTGCAAGTATTGAACCGGTCGCATCAGTTAATGCAAGAATCTATGGCTTAACCCAGACATCTAGGCTCCATTCAGAAATCACAAAAGAGCATCAGCTAATGCTGGTGCTTTAGCAGGCTAGTTGGCCGATGCTTCTGCCTCTTCACTTGTTCAAGCTGCTGTTGTCACTTCATCATCCGTACCTTTTCCACAACATCAATGTTGGAACTTCAATTCTGATTCATTGGAAGTAGCTTTTCAGAGACTGGCAGAATGGACAATTGCTACCGGACATTTATTTTTCTCTTTTGCTCTGTCTTCGAATAACATACAAGGATTGCGTAAATGACCTCTTGATGTCATATTATACAAATGCCTTTGATAGGTGTGTGTCATGATGTTTTCTGCATATCCATTCGAACAGTTGCAGGCTTGAAGCGACAAAGAACACCTCCAGCAGCGCCAGGCATGGTTGATTGTACGGACCCTGACCGGGAATAGCTAATGAAAAGACTGGGGCCTGCTCCATCAGCCAGGCATGGTTAGTACTTCAATTTTGGATATTTCATTGCTTGTTCTGTTACTTCGCAACATGACTAATTTTAGATTCCTTTGGTTTTGTTTCATTACCAATATATTATGTTTCTGTGCCTTTATTTTTTGGTAACATATATATCCTACATCAAGGGCAACAAGCTTGGTCATTGGATGAACTACCAAGAACAGTGGCTTTGACCATGCATCAAGGACCCATCGTCACCAGCATTGCAATTGAGTTTCCATATCATTTCTGCGATTATTCCTACTACTACGACAAAGACTTCGATGGTCAACCCACGAAGATTTTGACAGTGTGAAAACATGAAAAACCTTATTTTTATTTATCATTATAATTTATTATTCCTCCCTTTATCAAATTATTTATCTCTTTAATTTTCACGAAATTTCTTGAAAAGAAAATAATTTTCAAGAACTGAACCATACATTTGGCTTTCATACACAAATGAAAGGGATAAGAATGAAGACTATTGGTAAGTCTTGCTTTATAAATGGAGGGGCAGTCTTCACGCGTCAAAGAAAGCTGGCTTTGCAGTACAAATAATTGAAGTGCAACTGTTGGGGCACATGGCCTATGGCCCAAGCCCCTCCTTTTCAGTTGCATACAGCAACACAACGATCAACGATTTTCTTCCTTTGTTCCTTAGCTTTTCGATTCTCGAACCCCTTCCGTTGGTTGCTTCTCTCTTGCATCATCTTTTTTTCCCTTGTTTCCTTCTCGTTGACTGACGTTCCTTCCCATTCCACCCAAAACACCATAATCTTTGTCTTTGAATCTTAGTTGCCTCTTTGTTCACAGCTATTGTCATAGCGTGTGAGTCTTAGAAACTAACAGTTCAACTTAGATGAATCTATTTTTTCTGATGGGATCTTAGTCTTTTGAATAAAAAAAATGGATCCTGTTGCAGTTGGTGTTATTGCAAACGTTTCTTCCGAAGCTGCGAAAGGCACCTTCCAAGAAATTAAACGTCGTATCAGATACCTATTCATATACAAGGAAAATGTTGACAAGTTCGATAAGAAATTTGAGGTGTTGAAAGCAAAAAGAACAAGTGTGCAGCAAGAGGTTGTTGCTGCAGAAAGGAACGGGGAGAAGATAAACCGGATGTCGAGCTTTGGTGTAAGACAGTGGACAAGGTAATTGATGAAGATGTGAAGAAAGTGAAGGATCTTGAGGACAAAGTAAAGAAAAACTTCAACTCTCGCTACCAGTTTAGCAAAAAAGCAGAAGAAGTTGCCGCGGTTGTTGACCTCCTTATCCAGCAATGTCAATTTAACAGAGTGGGATACCTTGATGTTCCAAAAGCTATAGTGCCTAAAGATTTGAGCCCTTTAAATCAAAAGAGAAGGTTTTCAATGATATCATGCAGGCAATGAAGGATGCTACTATCAGCACTATAGGGGTGTATGGGATGCCTGTTGTGGGCAAAACATCACTAGTCAAAGAAATTTCCAGACGAGTCCAAGACCAAGAGGTCAAGTTATTTGATTTGGTGGTTATGGTAACTGTGACTCAAACTCCTGACATTCAGAAAATTCAACAAATTATTGCTGAGTTCATGAATTTAAGACTAGAAGATAAGACTACGAATGTAAGAGCTTGTAGATTGCACGAGAGGTTGAAGAAACAGAAGACGGTTCTTGTTATTTTAGATGATATTTGGAAGAGGCTGTATCTCGAGGAAGTTGGAATTCCATTTGGAGACCAACACAAGGGATGCAAGATATTGTTGACGTCTAGAGATCAAAATGTACTCTCCAATGAGATGGATGCTGAGAAAACTTTTGTAATTAATGATTTATCCGATGAAGAAGCTTGGAACTTGTTTAGGAAGATGGCTGGGGATAGTGTTGAAAGAGCTGAGTTGCGATCTACAGCAATTGAGGTAGCCAAAAAATGTGCAAGATTGCCGTTGGCCATCACAACTGTTGCAAATGCATTGAGTAATAAACCTTTATATGTTTGGGAGGATGCTTTACTACAACTACGGAAGCCTTCCTCGAGAAACTTGAGTAGGAAATTCGCAGACGCATATTCAGCTATAGAGTTGAGTTACAATCATTTAGAAAATGAAGAACTCCAACGGGCTTTTCTGCTTTGCAGTCTACTGGGTCATGTTGGAAGCATTGGTGTCTTGTTGAAATATGCCATCGGTTTAGGTTTAATTAATGGTGTCGACACCGTGGAGGAAGCACGAAGCAGGTTGTTAACAATGGTGAGTGACCTCAAAGCTTCTTGTTTGTTACTTGATAGTAACACCTGTGAACTGTCCTTTGTTATGCATGATCTTGTTTATGATGTTGCCATGTCAATCGCTTCTAAGGACAATCACGTTTTTGCATTAAACAAGGACAAAGATTGGCCTGATGAAGAGACAATGAAAAAGTGCAACATGATTAGTTTGGAATGTCCCGGTATTAGAGAGCTTCCTGACGAGTTGAATTGCCCACAGCTTGTTCTTTTCTATATGTTTGGCGAGGATGATTCGCTGGATATGCCACCTAGCTTCTTTAGGCAAATAACAAATCTTAAAGTCTTAGATCTGTCTGGGAAGCAACTGTCTTCTTTGCCTTCGTCAATTTGTCTCCTAGCAAGCCTCCGTACATTGTGTCTAGATGATTGTAAATTGGGAGATATAGCCATTATTGGAGAGCTTAAGAATTTAGAAATTCTTAGCTTTTCAGGATCTAAATTTAAAACTTTACCTAAAGAAATTGGGCGATTGGTTAAGCTAAAATTATTAGATATAAGTGATTGTACTGGACTTAAAATACTTCCATCAGGCTTCTTCTCAAGTTTGTCAAGATTAGAAGAATTATATATGCTTGGCACTTTTATTCAATGGGAAGCAAGGGATCATGCCAACCAGCGAAGTAATGCTAGTCTTGCTGAATTGAAGAATTTGTCCCGTTTGACTGCTTTAGAAGTTCATATTCTTGATGTTGAGGCCATGTCAGGGGGCTTGTTCTTTGAAGAGTTGCAAAAGTTGGAAAGTTACAAGATTTTAATAGGAAGCCATGATGAGAAACAGTTTTATCAGGATCCGCGTGAGTATTCAAGGACTCTGATACTCAATACAAGCAGCGTTGATCATTGGGATCATAGACTTGAGATGTTTTTGAAAAAAACTGAAGCTCTACGTCTCTATAGGGATTTCAATATAGAAAATGATTCCGTGATCAAATATATCATTAATGATAATGGTGCAGTTGATACAATTGAATTTCTTCAATTACGATCTTTGATATTTCAGGATCTAACCCATCTCATTAGCTTTTGCTATGTAGATAAGAGCGCCTCAACCTCAATACCTCGACATGAGTTGCCTTTTTTAAGTGAAAAGGTATTTTGATAATTTCTATCTTTTTTTTTTTTTTAAAGGTTAGCATTTTAGTAATAGCAAGGGTCTAGCAAGAGAGACTTACAGAGTGCTAAGTCAACAAAGAGTAGTAGAAACAAAAAGCTCCCCCAAACATAGGCAAAATTCTATCTTTTGCTCATTCTAAGGCATATATCAGATCTCATTTCCAGCTTCCTTAGATTTTCTCCATGTGATCTGTCAATGTTTTCAAATGTTAAATTTGTATTTTTTTTAAATATTTATTATGAGTCAAAATACAAATTGAATAGAAATTTGACTTCCATTATAAATTTATAAATTTGATACTCTATAATCAATTTAGAAAATTGTGTAGTGCTATACTTATCCTTTCTTAAACTTATATAAGAGAGCTTGACATAATTGTTGGTTTAATAAGAGATCTTAGGTTCGAGATTGGATATAACTTAAATGTCAACAATTTGATCTCATCTAAGTTGTTACAATTCAATAATTGTTTAAAACCAAAAACACTAGTATTTTCTTTCGTTTTCTTTTTTATTTATTTTTTGCACCATTTTTAATGTAGATTAATTACATGTTTGTAGATGTTGTTACCTTGCTTGGAGACATTGATATTGTTCTCAACTAATGTTGAAAGGATATGGCATAATTCTTTCTGCAATCTTGAGAAGTTGACAACGTTGGTCATCATGGGTTGTGACAACTTAAAACATTTATTATAATTTTCCATGGCTAGAAGGCTAATGCATCTCAAATTCTTCAAGATAAGTTTTTGCAATAGCTTAAGAGAGATAATTTCAGCCGAGGATACTGAAGAAGAAAGCAAGGCTGAGATTTTATTTCCTAAATTAGCCTCTTTAAGCTTAGAGTGTCTTCAGCATCTCATTGGTTTTTGCTCAAAACATCAAAATATTGAATTTCCATCCTTGAAGTCACTGAAGATAGAATATTGCCCAGAACTGAAGGGGTTCATACACAAATCTACATTGGAAGGGAGCCAATGTTTCTCTATTCAAGCTCTCTTTGATGAAAAGGTAGATTATTGTTAGCTTTCTTTTCTGTTCTTGTTTTCCTATTTCCATGCCTTTGGCCTTGATTATAGGAACAAATGCTTCAAAACAGTTCATTAATTGGCATGAATTAATTATGTACAGGTTGCATTTCCTAGTTTGGAGGAAATTTTGATTTCCAACTTGAGAAGCGTAAAGATGATATGGCAGAACCAGCTCTTTGCGAATTCCTCTCTCAAACTACAACGACTGCTAGTTGTACGGTGCAATGATTTGTTGACCATTTTCCCGTCTAAAACGTTGAGAGCATTTCAAGGACTGCAAACTCTACAAGTTGGCGGATGTGTTTTGCTAGAAGAAGTATTTGAAATCGAAAGGCCAAATATGGAAGAAACACGTGCTATCACCACTCAACTAAAAGAACTGGTTTTAGGGCATCTACCAAGCTTGAAGTATATTTGGAAAAATGATCCCCAAGGAATTTTTACAGTTGAAAATTTGCAGGTAATAGATGTTCGGTGTTGTTTGAATCTGAAGAATGTATTTCCAGCCTCAGTAGCCAGAGTTCTTCCACAACTTAGAGATCTTTGCATACATGACTGTGGAGTGGAGGAGATTGTTTCCATAGAGGAAGGATTGGAAAAAACTGTCACTTTTGAGTTTAATCAAGTATCCTTCCTTTCTCTTTGGAAGCTACCAGAACTCAAATGTTTCTATCCACGGGTGCATGCGACAAAGTGGCCAATGTTGAAAGAGTTCAACCTATATGGCTGTGGCAAAACGAAGATATTGGGTACAAAACATTTCAGCATTGTAGATACGCCTAACGTCAATTGGCAACAACTTGAGTCCCAATTAATTTCCTTGCATGAAAAGGTATGCATGCACCTCCATCTCCACTCTTCTCTAAAATTAATTAAGATAAGATGCTCATGTACTTATGAAAAGCTTTCTCGTCCTTTTAATGTAATAATAATATATAATAGCTATCCCAACTTTTGGCAAACTAGGGTGCACAACATCATTTTAATCAAATGTGATCTTGCTAAAGATCATTTATTACTATAACTCAAAATATTATATTTTGTCTTTATAGGGTATTACGTGTGTCAATCTAATTCATTTTCTTAACTTTTCAAGGGTTTTATTTTGATTACTCAACTTTTAAAAAATCACAAATTGATCACTAACATTTGTGAAAGTTAATTTTGTGATAACTTAGTTAATTTACAGTTAACAATTGGTGGTTGATGCTACTTTTCATGTGTGTTACATTCATTACTTGGTATGATCATGTCAAGTGGCAAACTACTTTAACTAGTTATTAATATTTAACAGTTGAGTGATTAAAATATTAATTTTTATGAATGTTAATGATCAAATGATGATTTTTAAAACTAAGTAATTAAAATAAACATTTTAAAAATGTTAAGTGTAAAGGTACAATAAAAATTTAGAACAATATGTATATATCGTCTATAATTTGTTTGGGTCGCCCCTACCTTTAAATAATGGGAACCGGAAATAATTGTAACTAAAAACAAGTGTTGATACTGCCAAGAAAAAATAAACAAGTCTTGAAAGGTTTATATTGTAATCTGAGTGTATGAAAATTGCATACATGGCATATCGTGTTTGCAATCAGTTGAGGAGGTAATTTTCATTTTTTTTCGTTTTCTAGTTATTCATTTTAGGATACTTGTTACTTGTTCTGTCACTTGAAAACCGGACTAGTCTTAGATTCCCTTGATTTTGTTTCATTACCAATTTAATATGTTTCGTTGTCTCTATTTTTGGTTACATATCCTACACCACGGCAGCAAGCTTGGTCATTGGATGACCTACCATGCATCAAGGTTCCATGGTTACGAGCATGGATTTTCATCCTTCGCACCACACATTGCTACTAGGTATGAAAGTTACTTTCATCCTTCACGCCAAGACTAGCTTGGAAGTTGTCTCTCTTTATGATATAATGTTTTTGAAAGCAGTTGGTTCTGCCAATGGTGAAATCACACTTTGGGAACTTGGGATGCGTGAGAGATTGGTTACAAAGCCATTCAAGATATGGGAAATGTCGACGTGTTCAATGACATTTCAGGTTTGTGTGTCGTTACTTATTGAGGTTTCTCTCTATGTTATACTTTTTCAAATGTATTGAACTATTGCAGTCATGTGACTCATGTCCGTTTTAACAATTTCTATGGGTTTCAGCATTGCAATTGATTAAACACACCTTTCCACTGCTGACAAGAATTATGGAAATGGCTAACAGTCATATTAACAATCAAGAGTATTCATTAAACACACCTTTCCACTGTTGACAATGGCCACAGGCGCAATGTGCTGCTTATCTCGTCCAAATTCATAGAAATAGTAAGTCCTGACATCAATTGAGCACTTCGAAAGCATACACCAGACACAGAGACAAAGATAGTACATTTGGCACTAAATAAACATGCTTTCAATAACTTTTCTTCCCCATTATATTCATTATCCTTTGTAACTTTTTAGTGCAATATGCAGAATCTCATCTGTCATGTAAGGTGCATGCTTTCAAAAGGCAGATCTGCAAACCTTTCCATTTCCATCTGGTTAAAATTCTGAGAAACACTAACTTATAACAGTAGTGGGGACTTGGTTGTGTTTATGCCTAATCTACATTCTGTTATTCCCTCGATTGGTTTTACTTACTGAAAAGCGTAACTGTTCAAGGAGTATTCTTTTAACTAATTGCATTAATTATTGATAGTTTATGGTAGTACTGGGATGCTTGAAAGTATAACTTACTTGAAACCTTCATCTTTGTGGGTCGGGCATTGTAAAGAGTTGCGCCACCTGCCATTGCACCGTTACTAGAATGGAAGACCAATAGTAAAGATGACAGAAGTCAAGAAGAGAGCTAGTGGTCATTTAT